ATATCTCAAATGTTTTTTGTCTCGCTGACATGTGTAAATGTTGTAAGATGAAAGAGACGGGTTTAAAGTATTTGTTGAACTTGTTTACCTGAAGCCACTGTTGTTTTATGTCATGCATAATTTGTCATTAACATTTTTTTAGTCGAAAAGTACAGGTTTATTTTTTTGTCAAATAGAAGAAGCAGGTTTGTGATGTCAAGACTGTTGCGTCATGAATACTAGTACTATTTTTTATTGTAGGAAATAGAGGAATTACTGTAAATGCACTTGATTTTGTGGTTAATTCATATTTTCCAGTAGGAGGCAAAAGGAATTTTTTCCTCTGTGTTTTAAATTTGCAGCAGCACAGTATTATTATACCATTCATGGTAGAGAGTTTACTGCAAGAACTGCAAAAATAAAACCACTGTGGAAGTTTCTGAATTTATAGTAGCCTGTTAGTGAATGAGTTATGGTTAACTAAAGTTCTTATGGCGTATGCCGGTACAGGGTTCTCACCAGGATTTTTTCACAGCGTAGGGGTCAGGTATAGAAGGGCAACTTTCTGTGACGCGAGTCACGCACCGAGTCCCCAAAACATGGGCCTGATATTCTCCCCCCAAAATTTTGTAACTCATATTAACCACTTAAGACACTATTTATTGTTTATTAAGGGACAGATTTTGTTTTCCCTCTGTTATAGCTTCATTCTTAAGTTATATTTTCATTTTTTTAAAGATTAATGAAGCTTCTGCCCCCAAAAACCACCCCTACACTGGTTGAAACACAGTGTAGGGGGCTAAATCACAGCGTAGGGGGTCAAAATCACAGCGTAGGGGGCCCCTACGCTCAAACAGCCTAGTGAGAACTATGCGGTACATGAAGAAACACTGAAACTAGTAATGGATCTCAAGCGACTTTCATATCTTGATGTTGTTGGCTTGCTGACGACAGTAACAGATGGCAGGCTCATCATACACTTTTAGCCTTCCGGCCTGTTGTCATCATCCAACATCAGGTGCATCTCAGTACATGAAGCTGAGGTGTTTGGGAAATATGCCCAGGAGGGTGATAATGGTGTGCAAGACTGGCATTACAGATGGTTGGGGAAGATTTTAGATGATTTGTTGACTGCTCGTCTCTAGAGTCACATAGCTCGTGAAGCATTTGATAGGATGTTTTTGATAGGATCTCTTAGAATCGTAATATAGGCCTTCCTGGTGTCAAAGCCTAAGAAGGGATCATAATAAGATGAAAACCAGGGAAAATGGGGTGATGTAGATTTGAAAAGAATGTGCAACTGAACACCTGTCAGCATCCCACATGCAACAATGTATTTTAATTTTATGCCACAAATAATTATATGTATATATATATATGTACATGTAAACAGCTCTACCTTTCCTTTAGAGGCACTTGTAGTAAGTGTGCTCACTTTGGCTACCATGTTTACCTTACCCACCCCCTCAACATATGGTTCAGGTAATTGAAGTTGGGAGGAAGAGCCTTAATTTCGCTGTTGCAGATGATTCAATCTAGAGGCTGACAATCATGTGTCAAAATTGCAGGATATTAATTACAGCAGCATCATATGGATTATCAGATCATAGGCACCCTCAGTAGTTTCATTGCTTTCATTTACATGCACCTGCTGTACCGGGGGTATGTGGTTTTCAGGCCAAGTGAATATTGATCTTTGGACCCTGGATTGTAATGTCATTACCGCACTTCAGTGGTCTGGATTCCAAATTGCATCTGGTTGGTTTTTGGCAGAAGTCTAAGACATTAGGCTGTATGGTTACTTAACAAGTTTGTTTGGCAAGTTGGTTTTTACTAATCTCAGCTCATACAGTAAGCCTCTTATTTCATTGTTTTGTTACATTTGAAAGTGTGAGAACAAAAGAAGAAGATGTGGATATGGACATATTAATCTTTGCTCTCTGTTATTGACCTTGTGGATTATGACCCAATAATAGTTCTGCTCAAAAGTAGTAAATTTTGCTAATTATGTAGTAGTATGTTTGAAAATTACACTGGTTTTGTCTGTGCAGATGGAGCAAAATAAGGTAGTACTTGGCAGTTTTATGTATTGCAAATTCCTGAGAATGTTTTGTAAATTTTCTGAATGTACATGAACGTTCATTTGACATTGCTTATTTGCAGATGTTTTCTACCACAAAGGAATAGTTGTTCCTCTGGGCTTGATGTGGCATGTTTTACACGTAAACAACATTCCTAACCAGTCAGAAGGTCATGAGCATGACCATGTCTCTGACACCTACATTTTTCGCAGTAAGAAACTAAGGGTATTACAGGGCATTACTATGCACCAGTCAGAGTTCATGTAGTTTTTTTAAGGGTATGAGCAAGTGTGTGCATACCAGTACTTTGCATAGTATTGTCTTGGTTCCCCTGGCATTCATTCTTTTACCTTCTTTGAGTTCCATCCAAATTAGTTTTCATCTAATGTGATAAAACTATGCCCAGCCCAGCAGTAAATTATGCATTTTACATGAGAAGCAAAAGGCAGTTGTACTGGTATGAGGGTCTTTCCAACCTTTTACAGATAGGATGATACCGGGTACTGATGATAATGTAGTGGTGAACCTTGAACAACCCCCAAATTTTCATTTAGACAATTTCAACAGTGGATTTATAATAATTCTGTAGTGATGTTTTCTCAAGAAAGGTGATCAATCAAAATTAACAAGGTAGGTACAATGTATAGTCAAGATAAAGGTTTTCCTTTGTGCCAATCCAGTTGTATCTCAAAAAATACAAGTCAGTTTTTGCTGAGTCTGGTCTCATTAGAAGAGAGCCACCATGTAGCCTAACCTTGAAGGTAATGCGACTTATTTCTTTTTATAGCCCCCAACCTTGATTGTTTGCCTCACTGAACAGAGAACTACCAGAAATGGGATTTGCTTGTCTGATTGTCAGTGTGCAATATACAACTTGTTTGGACATGAATGTTATGGTTACGGACCATTTTCTGATACATGACATGTACCTCGTGTCTGTTGTGAGAATTAGATACTCGATCAAGTTTGATGAAGAGTAAACTGGAGTTGAGCAAGGTTCAGGGCTGTTGCCAAAACATTCCTCACGACTCTGTCTGCCACAATGTCAAGACTGTATAAACAAAGGCTGGCAATAAGTCACAAGACAAACTTGACGTTTGGTCACCAGTATTTGAAAAAAGAATATCGTAAAAATAAGGAAGTCAAGGCTTCCACTTCAAAGGACAGTGAATTTATGTAATTATTAAGCACTCAATTCCATTTATTTTTTGTCCACAGAGTTGTATAATGTAGGTGTTTTTTTGTGTTGGAACACCTATAATTGCTGTTTAGTCATGTAGATTACAGGTGTTCAGTACCTTCAGGCCCTGCTTTGATATTAAGACCACTTTTATCCTTTTTAATGCCTTCTTCATGAGTGTGAGGCTTTGCTTTGGTATCTTTACAAGAGCTGAAGCTTGAAGATTTAATGACAGTGGTCTTAACAGTCAAGTGTATACCTAGGAATCTAACAGTCCTTTAGGATTTCTGAACCATGAAATGTTTTCATAACACATCATCTGTCCTTTTCATGATTAATGTGTCAGTAGAGTACCCTGACCTGATTGTTGCTGTTGAATATTTTATGGAGACGCATTATTGTTGTGGAGACATTGTGTGCATATGCGTCACTGATCTCCAAAGCATACCATTGAAGCCAGGTCCCTAAGACCACTGAGCTTATGCGATAAACATTCTGATAACACTGTGTCATTCCCGCTCTAACCAGATGACAATAGACAATAGCTGCTGTTATAGAATCTATCAATTGGTGTTCTATCTAGTGTTTTACAGGTAGTGAATGAGCTTGAAGAGTTGCATGACAACAAGCAGTTGTGGGGAATTAATTCAGAATTCTTAATGAGGTACCTTCCAGGTTGCTATGGGTGAAGTATAAACACCCAAACTTAATGATAGAAAATTGCTTTACAAAACCTTATTATTGTACCACATTGATCTGACAACAAAGACCCGTCCAATGTTGATTTATCCTTAGTTGGAACAAGAAGGGTCATTTCATACCTTCTTTGTTGCAAGTAAGGACATGCATGTTACGTTTAGGGTCATGCACGATTTTGTTAAGAGAAAAAAGGAAAGGATTTTCTGGGGCTTTTTCATTAACCCTGTGCTGCATATTATGGATTTAAGGCCTAGACTAAGTTTCCATACCCGCGGTAGTTTACAAGTGATACTGGGCTTCACATAGTAGACATTGCCTGGAGTCATTTGATACTTGCCCCAACTAATGACACAGCCAGGTAGTCTTGATGTTTTGTCAATGTGCCAGAAAGAGTCAAATGGATTTCAGTGGTACATTGTATTTTGCTGCATTGACATGACACCCATTTACCTTTTTTTGATTGTGATGTTGCACAAATATTTACATTTATTGTCATTCTTGCAATAAGTGACAAGAACAGGTAAAGGAAAAACAAACATTTTTTTAATCATGAATAGATAGTACTTGAATCGTACGTCAAACATATATACTTTTGTACTTGAATGTGAGCAATCCAAACTAATGCAAAGTCCACAGATCATAATGGGTCAATTGCTGCCCTATTGCTTCCATTCTGTTACTTGTCTAACTAATCAATTTACATGTAGATGCTTATTAAACATGAGTATGAGCCAGAGTCTATAGCTTGATTCACAGATTCACAATGTTTCAGGTTATACAAGTTAAATGGAACCCCAAATAGCAATATTTTGGCACAAGCTCTTTTAGAAAGTGCTTGTCTTTCTAGTTGTTTTGGTTATTCAATTTATTGAAGTTCTCCAATGTTCGCCAGCTTGGTATGTTGACTTCGTGGTTTCTGAAGTAACATTTGGGTCAATCACAAGATAACTTTTTTTTTTATTAAATATTTTCTATACTTATTTTACTACTACTCCCTGATTCACTGTTGCCTAATTTTTATGCTAATCTTTCATGCTACCATAATGATTACTTTTAGATCATGCTGAGTTTCCATTTCTGTCGGTGATTATACAGTAGTTTTTAGGTGGTCCTAGGGCACCCCTGTATGTGTGTTACATATGCAACAGGTGTTTTTGTTTCTTGAGTAGGATAAGTGTACACACATGAGTGAACACACAGCACTAAGCACAAGAAATATTTTGAAATGCCCTGGTGACAAATCTCTATGTTTATGGATAGATGGGTATGCAGTTCTAACCAAAGTATGCCCATTATATGGCATAATAACGCCTTTTGGTTGCCAAGCCTTGTGTCAACATGTAGGTGTCTGTTTAAAAATCAATCTGGAGTGCTTGCAATTTAAACAGTGTCAGTGTTGATTAAGCATGAAGGAAAGTTCAGTTCAAACAAATGTGTTCATGGGGTTGCATGTCATTATATACAATGTAAAGTAAAGCAAGGCTAGCCATTCAGGGGTTCGTTCTGCGGGCATGAATTTGCATGGAGTACAAACACAGAATCAGCTTTACACCCACATGAACTAAATGTAACTGCTAGTGTTAGTAAATGGCAGCTGTCCAGATATCAAGGCATTAAGGAGGAAAAGTACAAAGACCTCCAACACTGAAAAGCTGAGCATTGTTGATGTTTTTAGTAGCTGCATTGCATTCTACATTGCATGTGCAGACAAACTGTCGTCTTTCTTCAAACCTACAATAAGTAGAGAAGATTTGATTATTAGACACAGCAAACAAGTTTTTCTCACATACTTTCAGCTAAGTCAAGCAGGCTAACTTCATTGCCCTTTTCGTTCTGCACCAGCAACTCGGGGTCACAGTTGTGCGTATTTTCTGAGTGAAACTCTATCCTCCCCTTTCACCAAGTCATTAGCTTTTCCAAGCATATTTCCCAACCAGTTTCTGTTGGTCAAATTGGTTTTACTTTCCAAGATAGCTCAAAGAGGTATCAAATGAGGCTATCCGAAAAAACCTTTTAAAATTCACTGACCTCATTGTAATCCCGCTGTATCATACTGATAGAACATTCCAATCTGATAAGAAGCATGCATAAGGGAAACCTGTATTTCTAGTATGGATAGATGTAGCAACCAAAGAGCATCTTTATTATACTTGTGTGTTACGCCGAAAGGCGGTTATACCAGCTATACAGATACAGATACTTACTCTGAACTCAAGTTAAAGTCTTTAAAAGTACAATCATGTGTCTAGCAAAGAAAAAAGTGGTACCATTTTGCAAGTGACCCTGGTAATTTCTATTTCAGGGCTTGAGTTTACATGGGGACATCAGGGCCAACTGTGTATCAGGGCTCAACTATTGCTTGTTTCTTTTTTCCCCAGTGGAGCCACTTCCGTCGTGTACCGTTGTGAACAGCTGGGCACCAAGCTTCCCTTTGCAGTGAAAAGAATCAAGAAAACCGTAAGTACTTCCTTCCTGTTCCAGACCATCTGCCACAGACATCTGGATCTGTTGTTAATGACAGATACTTAGACTAGTAAGCTGAACTCTGAGTACTCTAAAGATTTTTCAAATGTCAGCAGCTGTGAAAGGCCTTTGATATGGCAGGGGTATTTTCCATTCATCTTACTGTTGATGTAGATGTAAATCTGAAAATATAACTTTTCATGCTTTGTCTCGTTGAGCTGACCACTTTTCCTTACACAGTTACAGGACATTTAAATATGGCATGTATGTAGGATAGATTTGCCAGTCTTTATACCTCCAAAGTAAATAGTACGATAACTTATCATTGTAGTCATAACAGCAATGCAATCAGCACCATGGCTATATCCCACCATCTGTTCACAGTCAGTTACTTCTTCCTCAGCCTAAGAATGTCATAACAAAATGGATAGATGTAATGTGCTGTTTGTATGTTTTAAATCAGTACTTTCAGAAATTTATCTCGAGCTACATCCGTCACAATCTTCTAGTATGATTTACAGACTTCTTTTAGCATCTTTTCAGTGGCATGCAAGCTGGGTGAGTGACAACGGCCGGGATTTGAACTCTGGCAGTAACACAACAGTTGGGATTTGAACTCTTGACCTGTAATATGATGTATGGCCTTTTTGTCCAGTGTTTTTTTCCAGCTGTCATTTATCATCACAGGATGAACAGCAACTAAACCCTAGCTGCTGTGTGTGACACAGTCATATTGTCTGATATGACCTGTAACCTTTAATGCAGGATATCAACAGATATTAGTATGTTATGAGTGGGATGTTAGGAATTTTTCAGATGTATTGATCTATTTTTCTTGTTTGTGAATGACTTTGATTTTACATACTACATTCGCAACAAAAATCTCCCATCAGAAAAAAGGTGCAGCGGGGGCCATTAGTACTTGATGTGCTTTCTCATATCTTCTTATTTCATTGTGGTGGGCTCAGAGAATCCTTTAGACATGTTGTGGTGCATTGACAGCATACATTGATATCTGGTGTCAGGGACCCCAGTCCAGTTACTTGTGTATGCTGCCTGTTACTGCAGAGAAAGCTTATAGCTGACAGCCTTGGCTGTGTTTGCCCCGTCTTACCTATCCCTAACACATGCAACCCACGCACATAGGAAGGCTGTTTGTCTACCTAATGGATCATTACTCTCAGCCACTTTCCGACCAAGAGACCACTAATCTCTGACCGGTGGACAAATGAATCATTGTTTCCTGTATAAGCTCAGTGATAAATGCACCATCTGGGAAGGACTACCCAAGACAGCATGAGGCCCTCCATTATCAGTGGTATTTTTGGAAATGATGTGGTGAAAATGGTGAAAAGTGCCAAAATAGATTATATGTTAGTATGGAAAGCTGGAACTGGATTATAGTTTTGGTCAGTCTAAATCTCTAATGAATTATCAAACTTACCCAGTAAGCTATCTACTAACACGCCTTCTTAATAACCAAGCCATGTAGATCTCTGAAGCTGTTCATTCTTTAGAGCTGGAAAAGGGTTGCCTTGTACTTCACAAGATGCTTTGAAAGTGTCTCAATATGCTCAGGGAGAAGTCTTGTGATGTACTGAAAAAAAAAATCAAAATGCTTTCAAATTGATAGTCCCAAGATGCTTTGAAGAAATCTCAAGATTTAGTCAAACATTGCAGAAAGCTCCATGTTTTGTAAAATCTAAAGATTGTTTCCCCAGCGACATAACTCTACAAAGAGGGCCATCCTTTTAAGTTTTAAAAGGGTTTATTTCCCTCTGCGCTTAATGCAGGACATATCTTATGAGATAAAATCCAGTAGCCTGTTTCAACACAAGAATGGAACATGATTTGTGGCAAATGGCGGAGACACTTCCCAACAACTTTACTACCAAAAAGCTGTAGACCACGAATTTCTATTAGTCAATCATTGTAAATAGACATTTTCCCCAGAAAGTCAACTTCATGTGAGAATGACATGTATGAATGCCAACTGAAAAGTGCATTCCTACATGCACAAAATGTAATGGTCACTATACATAATGAACACCAAACATGAAATATGAGTCTATCAGGTAACTCATTCCATGAAATGGTTACTACTTCCTCCATCAGCGTCCGGTCTATTGGATATCATGTCAGAGACTGACTTTATCTATCATAATGGCATTCCCTGTCACACATGGGGAGGCCACATGTTTTACTGCTTCAGATCAAAGACGATCACCTGTGAAAGAGCAGCCATTTGTATATGCCCTTTGGTGCATCACATGTGGCGATGGCCAGGAACATGTACCATTGATTACACCACATGACCTGCCACTCCTAAGCCCTGCATGGGTGCATCAAGGCAAATTAAATTTTTGGCTTGTTCCTGCCCAGGTACATTTTACAGGTTTTGTGTCATGCTTGTGATAATGCCAACCATTGATACAAACCATTGGCCTTCAGCTTACACACAACTAGCCACAACCAACCATAACCAGGTCTACTATGATCCAGTGTACATGGGGTATTCTGGGTAAGGACACTCAGGACACTTTTCAATGACATTCTTCTTGCAATGACTACATAGTCCTGTAAATACTTTGTTTTGAAGGCTGTTTTGATTGTTGCCATGGTATTACCACTTAGAACAATTTAATGTAGCAGGGTTTCCCCATGTGAGACTCATTCTGTTAGCCTCCATTGCTTGAGGCTACATGTACATCCTGTGATGCATCATTTCACTCCAAGTCAAGAAAATAAATCATGGCTCCATGATTAATCAGAGCTTTAGAACTGAAGTGTTTCTTGATTGAAGGATAAGAATTGAAGAATTATTGTGTGGCCCTTCTTCTCTTTAGTGATTATTGTACATGTATTATCATAATGGTAAGTTTGTACCTGCAGGAGTAAAAACTCCATTTCTTATTTCATAAGGGCCATAAGCATTCTCAAAGTCTACACATGATGTATGATAAAAGTGTTTTAGTGTTGGTTCACTTTTGGTCCAACCTTGACAATCACAGCACAGGGTTGCATTGGTAATTGTCACCTACCATGCTTGGCCCTTCAGCTGAGGGTTTATATGCTACCAATCAGTATTCTTCAATTTGTCTGTGACATAGCAACATCAGAACTGTGCCAGTAGGAATCAAGGTTCTCCATGACTTGTAGCAAGAGACCTGCTGTTTCTGTTTCTTAAATAGTGGTATTGGCCCATGACATCATTAGGAGAGTTGTCCAGTTGTTGAAATAACAAGGAGTTGCCTTTTTTCAGACTGACAAGAAGATCATCAGAGCTGAAGTTGGAATCCTGCTGAGACTAAAGCACCCAAACATTGTAAGTATTTTTCCCCAAGATTATGGCTGTTACAGAAAAACTATAAACAAACAATTGTGTCAGTGCTGGTGCTTTGGGCAGCAGTAAGTGTTTGGAACTCTCCTCAGGTTTATCTTTATTTCATTAGAAATCCATTGTTTTCTTTTTCACATTGAAACCCTATTTAAAGTTTGATCCACGAAGTCTCCTCTACTGAGAATATATTCTACATTCGGCTCTGTTCCAATTTTGTGGGGTATCCTTTAGTATTCCATTCATCTTGTTTCCCTAGAAAATGGGATCAGCCTGGCTGTCACATACAAGGCTGAAGTGAGATGACTGCATACCCACTCTGAATACTTCCCGTGGTTTCCACTTCCTCAATATAAGATGCAAAGCCATGAAAATGGGTTACAGGACTTGAACCTGTAACCTTTGCGAGCTAATACCCAGTGGTGGCTGAAGCGTGCTATTAGCACCTTCCCTCCAGGATATGCTTTCCTAGCATTGGTGATTTACCAGTATCTGTGATGGATTTCAATAAATAATACAGCGGGCAGGCCATGGTAAAGCCCTTCCCTTCCATTAACTTTCTACCCCAAGAGCACACTACAACTTGTCATTTGGAGCATAGATGGATGAACGTTAGGTAGGGTGGCTTTACCTGTGAGAGCATTGTGGTTTCCCATTATGTCTCTGCCCTTTTCAAAGAAGTCCCAAAGATACGAAAGAAAAGCTTCAATCCATTTTTTGTTTTTGTACATAAAATCTCTTCTTCGGAATGATGTATTATTCCATGAGATCGGCTTTTCCGCTAAATATGAAGGCTGCTTGGGGGTATAACAGCTCAGCCTGCAAATCTAGTTAACACAAACAGGCCCTTGGGAACAGCAGATTGTAGAGCAGTGATAAATTATGGATCACTTTCCTAGTCAATTATTAATGGCTTTCCAAGTATTTTTCACCAAAGGCACTCATAAAACAGTACTCAGAATTCCTGCTGTACAAAAAGTATTAGTAAGAGTAATCCTTTAAGTGTATCTTTGGTGTTGTAATAAATTAACAATGATATTCCTAGATTTAGTAATCACTGGGAAATAACAAGACAGAAGGTGTACACATCAGCACTTGGTTCTAGAAAGATGCTGAAGAAGTATTGAATACTGTCTTCAGACTTGTGACGTAGGATTGCTGGTGTACTTGACTTCGTTTTCTGTGAGGTCACATCATCTTGATTCTTGGATTTAGCCACTTCATCATTTCTGAATTGAACAAAAAGCCTACCAGTAGATAAAGAAAGCCCTTGTCTTGCTCGCTGCTATTATCCCATTCATGCATCTGGAATTAAGGAAGATTTGTTCTTGAAATTTCATGTTTACAGATATTTACTACTTGTATCTGGAAAACTTTCTACAATTTTGCAGATTCAGCTGAGGGAGATATTTGAGACAGCATCTGAACTGTACCTTGTGCTGGAGCTGGTCACTGGAGGAGAGCTGTTTGAGAGGTAAGAAAAGCTTTCAAGGGCTTATGAAGCAGAAAAACATGGGTGGGGGTCCTTGTGTGTTAGTCTCAAACTACAGTGTTGTTTCCTGTTTACTGGATTTGCCATTACCTTCTGCCTATGTGTTTTAGCTCTTAGCTTGGATCATATGGAGCTGCCCCTGATGCTGAAAGCTGCCCTTGCAGTTACTGAATGGAAGCGCAAAATGTACACCACCTGTTCCCAGTGACATACAATACCCTTACTGAATTTATCTGCACTTTGCTGGCACCACTTGGTTAAGTGTTGCTGGTACACATGTAATTTCTTATGCATTGACCTTTTCAGCAGGTGCTACTTTCAAAAGTGCTCACATGGCAGCCATTCTTCACTTTAGATTTTGTCACACAACTTCCTTTCCAAAGATTAAGCTTAAAATGGGCTGGTTATGAAGTTGCATTATTGAAAACTTATATTTTAGAAAACACCATAGACCTAAGTTGAACACACAGTGACTGTCCCTGGTGCTGAAGATAGAATTGTAGCATAATATGTTCAGGGTTCACATGCTGTACCAATTCCTTGCACCTGTCCTTGGTGCTGAATGGCATTCAAATACATATGTCTAAATCTGTACAAAACAGGTATACAAAAACGTACCATCTGTCCCTGGTGCTGAATGACATTCACTCTGTTATGCACAAATCTTACAGAAAATGAATATATTGCTATGTTGATGAGGTTAGAAAAATAACTTGTTAAAGCATGGGGAAATGATTCACTTCTCTGCTGCACAACAAGATAAGGCATGTAGCAAGGATGTATCAGATACATTTGTATTACACAGGCAGCTAAGTGTGTAGATCTAGGCCAAGCCAAGCCAGAGGGCATTTCTTTATTGCTGATACCCGATACCAAAGGCCAGGCACTTCCTGGTATCATTAGCAATGCCAATCTAGGCTTACATGTCCTTGCTTCCAGACTCACATAACAAGTGAATTGTTTTCAAATACATGAACTATATTAAGACACAATCATCAATAATATTCACTGTCCTGTGAATCCATATCCACATGTGAGATTGAATGGAAGAGCAAGAGAGAAAAATAGAACCGTAAAAGATAGGTACTTCCCACATCCATTTATCGTCCCTTTTTTCACCACCTGATACCACCTCTTTTAGATAAGAACTCATACCATGAGGCAAAGTGAGCTAAGCAAGACCTTGGCGGCAAATGCTGTTTAAACTGTGGAAAAAAACAACATGGCAAAATTTCCAACTCAATAGTGCATGGCTTTTATGTACAAAAACCATCAAACTGACATTATTTGAATGAGCCATCGTTTCCTGGCCTTCTATTCTTACATGCCTCTAATATCACGTCATGAGTTATGATGGCAATCTGATTAGATTACGTTTTATTTGGTGGTTGTGCAAAAAGATTGATGACTGGATTGCTGATATCATCGTTGAAATGTATGAGACATGGCAGAACCGGATAGTAATGAAAGCAAGGCTGTCTCGACAAGTAGATTGCTTTGCTAATCTTTCCTGCTGTTCCACAGAATCATCCAGAAAGGGTACTACTCAGAGAAGGATGCAGCTGAAGCAGTGAGGCAGATCTGTGAGGCCGTTGCTGTAAGTACATCCTCCATTATGCAGGAGGGAACGAATAGAATCAGAATCAGATAGGGATGCAAGCATGCACACCTCAACACATGATCACAGGAACAGTTGTTGAAGTTGGTAGCACAAAGCAAAGCAAAGTGCTCTCTTTGCAACTGTCCATGTCTATGTGATGTACTAGACTTAGTTTCATGCTCTATCAATAGGAGACATTACTTTCTCTATAGAGCATTAAAAGTTGATGAGGGGAAACTCTGCCATGGAAACCATTCCAGCTAGCTGCCTCGATTGTGGAAGCTGGTGTGAGTGAAGTTATGATAAGAGGGAGATAGTTGCAGCTAAACCCTAATACTGTTGGATCAGGTGCAACTTGGCTTCTTTGAGGTTTGATACAGTTGATGAGTTTGGACACTTGTGGCACCCTGCCGGCTCAGAGCCTTGAGATCAAAGTTTGGACGTGTATTGGATGCTGAAGGTGTCAACATGCTCATCCTGCATATCAATTGACAATGAGTTTTGAAGCCCTCTGTATTTTCACATTATTGTTTTTCTTCAGTATGCCCAAATTGTTGGCTGTTGTGTAACATAGAAATGTCTTTTGTGAACTAACTATCGCTGAGGATTTCTTGAGTTTGCTTCCTTCATGAGTTAGGCCACAATGTTTGCCATGTTTAATGCATGCAACAGTGTGTGATGGCATCAACAGGCTGTAACATCACCAGACCACCAGACTAAGAGACTAAAGTTTAGGTGGACTAATGGGCCAGAGGAGCTGAAAGGGTAAATGAGCTATAGGGCCACGGTTATAGAACCTGAACCACTTAAACCCATAGTTCACATTTGGATGGTTTGAGTCAAATGTTGCTTCTGAACAACTACTGGAAATACATCAGTCTCCTGACACCATTGATGAGGATGTGGTCATAGTCAGTAATAAAATATAATCCTGACTTTTAGACAAGTATTGCTCTCTATCAAGAAAAATAACATTAGACAAGTAGACTAGATACACAAAACTAAATGAATGAGGGCTTTCTTTGTCATGAATTCACCATATGAAAGACTTGATTTTCTTGGAAAGCATACATCTCTATCACACACTTGTCGTTGCTAGTCTGCCTTGATGAAGGATCATTTTACATCCATGCCCTAATCAGTCATTAACAATCAAAGCCTGGAATCATCCAGCACATCACAAGAAACCCTCATAAGCCAGCAGGCTCCACAGAAAGCTGACCCAATTCAGCTAATGGTTTCTGTAATAAGCTAAGTCCCCAGTGGAAACAGACACAAATACAGGCTCCTTACATCTGTGTTATGCTCTGTTGAGATTATACTGTATAATGTCAATGCAGTTTATGATATTTCTTTACCTATAAAGATGTCTTGAAGAAATGCATGTGATGCATTTCGTATGTTTTGTCAGTATTAGTGCATGGCTCACCGAATGTTTCAGGTGAGGCAGGTTATGTCATCTGTAATCCAACATAGTCTATTTTCTTCAAGTGCAGATTAGAATGCCATTATATGGTGACCTTGAGGTCTGAACTTGAAAGGCACATCTCGCATCAGGTGGATTTCCCTAATGGTTTGTGCATTCCAATGTCTGTCCTGAAAGGTAGACATGCAACTTGACTATGCATATACTGACGTACATGTACTATCATTCATACATATATTCATAAACTTATAACACAAATTTTGGTATTGTGTAATAATGTTCTGTTACAGAGTGAAGTTTAATTTTGAGCAATAAAGCAAAGGATTAAACCATGTATGTCAAAAGAATCCAACATTAGCAAGTTAAGGGTTACATTTTGATGTAGGGTTTAGTGGCATTGTATTTAGTTTCTGAATCTCCAAAGTGGTCTGAGCTCACAGCATTACTGAGGTGGAACTAAAAGTCAATAATGGTTTGGACAGAGAAGACAGTTTTTTCATTAAGGGTTGCCCACGCAGGGAATAGATCCATAAAGGTTTATTGCAAAAGGGTGGAGGCCATGCTGCTTGGTGGAAGACTTAAAGAACAAATGCAATAAAGATCAAGAAAGATCAATGTGATTATTTGGTATTCAGTTCCTCACCTACAAAATGGAACGAAAGTTCTTTCTTGGCACACACTAAGAAAGTCCACCAAGCCGAAACTGTGCTCAAGCTTAGCTAAAAGGAGCTGGAAGATCACAGTCTTCCCAGGGGAACAGTACTTCACAACTCATGCTGGAATTTTACCAACAAAGAGTTTATAACTTTTACTGTGATTGTTTGTCACTCATTTGGATGTGAAATCAGTACAAATGACTTTGACCCTTAGGCCTTACCTTTATTGTAGTTCACTCTACAAGTTAGATGTCAGCAAGTAGGATTGTACTATTGGGAAGCTCTTTGAGTCTGTATTATAAAAGTGATATTGCTGGCATGGCATGAGACTGCCCTCCATCTACTCCTGACTGTTGTTCCTGAAACAGCCCTTCAGCTGCACAGCAGGGTGTTACCATAGCATGGTGCTCAGTATGCAGATGGGAAATTTTATAGACATTTTAGACCAGGCAAAATGTGTCATTTCCATTCCATGACTAATGCCATGCTACAGACCACAAGGTTACTGTAATTCATTTTATATTTGCGGTAGCAAAATTTTGTTGACTGGTGGACATGTTCGTAGAACATGCTCGGCAGGTGCAGGAGTCAGTGAATTACTAGTATTTGTTTGCGGTAATGATAAGAATTCATGGTACAGAAGTGACGTCCAAAAGCCCACCAATATAAAAGTGCAGCAAATATAGAGTGATACGTAATCCTTCCAGATAAGCCAAGCTGGATATTGTGCCCAGATAGTGCACAGATCCAATATAGACAAACCTATTACTTGTCTAAGTTAGATACATTCAGAGCTGTCCGTGGTGCTGAAGACTGAGGTGTTAAAAGATAGAAATCTAACAATGACCAAAATAGTAATTAAAAGGGTGTATTCAACTAACATTAATATCAGTCTTATTCATGCCTAAATTGCATAATTAATGAAGTGTCGATCTTTACAGATCTGACAATTCTAGCAACACATTTATTATTAAGAGAGATTGAATCCAGAGATGAATGGCTCATGTATCATGACTAGATAATGTGTCCGGTGGAGCCACTGAATGGCCAGGATGCATTGGCTTTGGTGATTACTGAGGGGTAATGTGAATTGTAAGAGGGTTAGTAAGGGGATTTCAAGCTCCACACTGACTGTGTTACAGGTAGAAACAAGTGGAACGAAAGGCACAACCTCTAAAACATGATGGCAACTACAAAAGATGTATCAATCCTCAGTTTAATAGGTATAATGCCCTCTAGTACATGGAAATCTACTTAGGGTCTTAGTCAAAGATCATTGCAGGTGCTGTAGCTAAGAACACTGAAAAGGACTGAAAGCAATTTCAATATGGATATTACATGTATGGCTAATGTTTTGAAGGTCAGTAGTTCAAATTGCAGATTTTGTTGTAGTTACCTTGCCTTCTTTGCACTGCCAAGTTGTGTAAAACTTGGATTCACAAAAACTAGTAACACTAACATTATATTTACTTTACTACGATCCTTTACAAAAATGTGGCTAAGGATCACAGCTGTAACTCCCTGACTGAGTGTACATACAGTGTATATGTTTGTACTACTTGTACTCTAACACTTTCCTCTCTACTTCTGCAGCCCGAGAATCTCCTGTATAGTGTTGAATCAGAAGATGCTCTGCTTAAGTTAGGTAAGTAATCAGACTCCTTTGACATTTAACCGTATGTGTATAGATCTCCATGGAAAGAGTATGATAAATTCATCTTCAATCCACACAAATCTCCAGACCATTTATCAGGGATGGCAGTGTAAAGGGACTGCTCTGGCAAGGGCCTTGAAATTAGATTCTATAGTGATTAGATAACATTCTGTACATCACAAGTTATATAAACAGCAAGTTATTTTTGAATTCTGTTGGACACTGAAGCCCATTAGAACCATAATCCTTGGCTCTCACTAACCTTTGGTTTGATATTTGGGTTGCTGCCTGCTATCCTGGATAATACCACAAAACCGTGTAGAAAATTGATGAAGATGGCTCTTGATTGACATGTAGCATTTCCAAACTATTGCTTTTGAAAGTTTGAATCAATCTTGAATAAATCTTTGTGCATATATACTTCTGTCACTGTAATCAAATTGTTAGATTTTATGTTCATAATCTTTTTGAACCTTGGAAATCATATGTAATACATTTACTTTAATACTCTTTTGGACCTTATTGCTCATTCAAGTCATATTTCCTGTTCTTTTTAAATACAACAGACATACTCCATGTGTCATGAAAGAGATGTAATGCAGTAATAGAGTTGTGCAACTGCCTGGATTCCCAGCAGTTCCTGTTTATGTACAGAACATAGACAGTAGAATTGAATCTTTCAATCCTGGTCCTTCCATGTGTTGTAGAGATGAAGCAACCAAATTGATTTCAACAGGCATGGGAACAGGTCTACAGGGAAATTTGCCAGGATTTATATTAAATCACAGTCCACTAAGCTGGAAGTGTGGGCAGGGTTATTAGATTTACACCTGGATGTGTCAGCACTACCACTCAAGTGTGCAGACAGGTAGAATGCTTTCACGACAGTGTAATTTGTAACATCTTCCTATTAAGTACAGTAGCACAGACTTTTCTCTTAGTATAACTTTACAGGTTATGTACTGTTACTATTTTAGTTATGATATAGCAGACAGTGATGTACCCACAGTTGCTCAAACTTGTAAAGAGTGATGTCTGAAGAAGGAGATTAATATTAAGTCGAAACTTTGTTTTGCAGCTGACTTTGGCCTGTCCAAGATTATCAGCAATGAGGTGACGATGCAGACAGTGTGTGGGACACCAGGGTACTGTGGTGAGTTACCCTAACTTGCTCCTGGCACAATGCAAGATTCATTGGGGATATACATATGAGATTAGTTGTCAAATTCTTTTAATATACATGTACAATGTATGATATATTGTAAGTTACATTTGCTCTTCAAAACGTAGTTTATCCGCATGTACATGTGCATGTGTGCTAGTTATTTCAGACTTTGAAATGTAATTATTACATCCTCCCGAGGTATGGTCAGTGGCACGGTATCCGTAGGCTACCTCACACTTGTGGTGTAAGGTAGCTACTGATACTGCACCACTGACCATACCTTGGGGGATGTGTAATTAATGAAACTCTGAAAGTGAAGCTGCCTTTAGCACATCATATGAAGAGGAAGATTTCTAGTTGGTTCACTTTCTCCCTGCCATTCTGTGCAGCCCCAGAGGTGCTGAGAGGCCATCCGTATGGACCGATGGGGACATGTGGAGCATAGGAGTCGTCACCTACATCCTGTAAGTCACTTACTGTAACATGACATAAACTGCTATGTACCTTCAAAAAGATAGTTCATGAATTTTCATGGGTTCTACACACATGACAATTAAGTTTTGTTGCCACAGTAAGCTTTTTTAAGACTAAGTATAAAGGCTTAACAGTCATCCTCTTGAGTTGAAGCATAATGCTTTAGAAGTTAAGCACATGGATGTCAATGGTTAAACGAGATACTCTTGAGGTATTGATGAGCAAAATTGTTTGGTTAAAAACAGGAATTACTTGTTGCTTTCTTCAGCTCTACAGATTAATGCAAATTAGCTTAAAAGTAACCGTAGTGAGTCATAATGTGTTGCAGAAGCCAAAAATATATGTTTTAGTTAAAAAGTCCAAAGATGCAAAAGGAGTCAATGGAAGAAAAAAATAAACAACTTCAAAGGAATCCCCCCAGTTGCCAACTTCATGTCATTTATTTAAAACTAAAGGAGTGGCTCAACAGATGCTGAACCAAAGAGCAGAAAATTAGGTAGAGCAGTCCATATGTACAGCTAAGATATAATGAAGATGGAGAACACACATTACACACTGTGTGTATAGCAGTTCCATCTGTCAGTGGCAGTAGGTTCAATTTTAAAATTTCCCTCATGCAAACTCTTGCCTACGGTGCTCACTGGTCCCTCAGCAAAGGTGCATGAATGTAAGTCTCCTGACCTTCCTGTCCTCCAGGCTGCAATGCAGCGGTGGTGGCCTCCAGTCGTCTGGGCAGTGCCAGCAGCGGCAGCAGTGCAGGAAGCGAGCGGACCTCGCCCAAACCTTCCTCCAGACCAGCGGCGGAGGACGGCAAGGAAGAGTAGATCATAGACGTCTTTTCTTCCAAACAGAAACACTCTCTACACAAGGCTCAATAAGTGGTTGTAGGAGATTTTATACCTGCAATACAGTATATAGCCTGGCATATTCCACACAGTATATACTATTGGGTACATGTAACTGCAACATGCTCTTCAACACATTTTAACTCTCACAGTTAGAGGGAATGTTGTCAATATCTGAACTCTTCCTAACTGCTAATAGATAGCATAGATGACTGTATGCGTAACTTATGACTGAAGTGTATACGAGAAAGATTTTTGTGTCTCCACCTTTTTGTTGTCTTCATTTACAAAAACTAAGAGAGAGATAGTAGAGAAAAAGCCATTCAAAAGAAAGGCAAAACAGATATATATGTATACTGTTTAACACATCAACTTCAGAGATTACTGAGATTGTTGAAGTTGGAAAACAAAGTCACAAATTTCAAGCAGTCATTTATTTCAAAAGAGATTATGGAGTGGAAAAGAGAGATTACTGTTGATATGAGATTGTTAATTTTGTTGCAGCTCGTGTTGAGATAGGGACCGAGAAGTTTTGTCTGGTCTCTTGATGGATGATGTCATTTCTGTGTCTGCGTGACAGTATCGACATGTCCGTAGCTGTGTCTGTGTGTGGTTCTAATGTTCTAGCTTTTGCAACTCACATCTTGTAATGTACATAATGTAGGAACAAGATACACTATTATATAATAGCATATAGCTCACTTCTATGTATAGAAGGTTTAGAAACTTCAGTTGACTTTAATTGTTGTTTTAAATGTTGTTTTGAGTAAGGCCCTAAGGATGTTTCTGTATATTAGTTAATTGGTAGCTTATGACTTTTATTTGGGGCACTTTGAGGTTTATAGTTTTCTGTCTCAAGCAATATGAAAGTCTGGTCTTATCACCACCAATGATACTGAAAAGCATGACTATTTAACAATTTTAAAACTACGGATCATTTTACACATAGTAGCAAAATTAGGCTCTTTTTAATTCTTCCTTTTTTTCTAGATTTTACCAATTGACAGCTGTGGTAACCATAGTGTACAGGATTTGTTAAAATTTATCCAACGAAAGGCTAAGTTGATATACTTTGTTGAGTTCTCTGTTCAGACCTGGAATGATAATGATCTTTTAAGTTATTGGTCATTTTTTTCACATTGGAAAATAATCATTAGATGGTGATATTGCTTTTGAAAGTACAGTTGGATGTATACTTTTCCGAAAGTATACTCTGAGTGACATTGTATTTTGTTTTAGTTCAGGATGTACAGAACTATCAGAGAACATCACACTCAAGGCAAATGGAGTAATTTGTAACAATAATGCTGCAGCTGTGATCTGTTGTTTGTACCCAGGACTCATCTGTATTTACGTGTTCATAACTACAATAAAATGACCTCTAACAAATCCAGGTGTGATGTTGTACTTTGTTGACATAAAAATGATGGTAAAGTAAAAGTACTGTTCAAGGAAGGGGCACTTTTCACACACACATAAACACAAATCTCTCACATAAACATTTTGAAGATAGTTTCTAGTTTGATATGTGTTCAAATATTAAAGGGCACTAAGAATATACATGTACAATGTAAAAGCAACCATTTTTATAAGATAGTAGATTGTATGTACAATTTATTATTCCAGTCGTGTACTCTTCATGTTTGATATACATGTTTGTACATGTACTATTCGTAGATTGTTCAGTGAAGAAGTACATATATAATATGGTCCTGAGTATTGAAATACTTTGTTGTCCCTGTGCGGTTGTTTTAGTATCGTCACGCGGCGACAATGATCGGTACTGCAGAGAAGCCTGGGCGACCATCTGCCTCGGTCGTGTAATTTTGACAGTTTCCAGCACTAGAAGAGGGGGTGAACAGGACTGCAAACTGTAACTGAATTTCTTCTGTTGCCCGAATCAGTTGCAGCTTATGGTGCCCCAGACATTGCTGTCGGTCAAGAGCACCAAGTTATGTCTCAGAACGTTTGGGTTTCGTTTGAAAGAGGTTTTTGAAGGAAAGAGGTCTGATGAAGTATTGTCAGTGTTGCGACAGGTAGACATACCTGTCCATAGTGCTGAACAGTAGCCATTCGCAGACAAAAAGACATGTCCTTGGTGCTGAACACCATCCATACGCAGGCAAACAGACCTGTCCTTGGTGCTGAACACTATCCACACTCAGACAAACACACCTGTCCTTGGTGCTGAACACCATCCACACACAGGCAAACAGGCCTGTCCTTGGTACTTAAGACAATCCACACACAGGCAAACACAGATGTTCTAAACACCACACACTCACAAATAAACACGTCTGTCCTAGGATATCAGATACGCGCCTATTCTACACTACCAATCCTTGTCGCCAAATGGAAAAATGAAATTGCGCAAGTGACTGCTCTTAATTGCAGAATGGTGGATTGCGCCATCGGGGGTAACCTGCAAATCGCGCAAAGGTCACTTACGACAGTATCAATGTTTTAAAAAATTCCATAATAAAACTGTTAAAAATGCTTGGTCTAGCATATTTGGACATAACATGCTGACGTCCTCTCCTCCACCTATGTTCTGTTTTCTCGGCTAACTACTGCCCGACAGCTGTCCGGCTGTAAATGCCTGTTATGTTTTTACAGCTCGTTATCGTGACAATGTGCAGTGCTTAAGAACTGCCAAAGTCGTTTGCTTTTGACAAATGGCATCTGTCTAACGAGGCAGCTGTGGAGGAGGTCCACATTGCGACCATAGAAGTGCTACATTTGTCAATGTTTATCATCAACCAACGATGGGAATAGAGATTCCGCTTTGTTTTAAAGCTCTCTTTTATCAGACAGAAGCATTTTTCTCGTGTACTTGTAAATCCTGTACATGTTAAAGCATGTTGAAGTACAAATCAAAGCGTCTTAGGATATTTGTGATCGATCCTTTTGTCTCCTCATGATCCCCAGACGGTTCATCGGCTGACGAAATGTTTGTACAGCGTAACGTCGTGACAGACGGTGTTTAGGCAGGGCGCTGACGGACACTAGTGACTAGTGTCGTCATGTTTTGTACCTTCTGTGAAGATTTCCCACGTGACCCAGTGTGCTGCTGCCCAGTGAAATACGATCCCAAGGTCATGACCCAGTGTGCTGCTGCCCAATGAATTCGAAATCTGACCCCAACGTCGTGACTTCAGAGCAAGGCTTTATTACCAAGAGCTAGGGTGTAACGTAGTACTTTGGCAGTTAGCTCGATCAGGTTGTACATTTCCTCTTTATAAACGTAGAAATGATAATAAACAACGGTTTATATACTAGTATGAAACTCCGTGCCAGTATGAAAGGAATTCATCATCCATAATAAGGGGTATTTAGTGGGTTAAAGAATTAAAATAGCCCCGTTAGAGACAGGAAAGAGGGATATCATCTATCAAAGATAGCCCTGCGATTCTGCCTGGTATCCTTTTACGGCAGAGATAAGAATAGCCCAGGACGGACCGCCTATACGGGACCGTTGCAACACGCAAGGGAAGATGCTTAACGGCCGTGTAGTGCATAATGAGGCTGAGTTATAACCTGAGCTATAGTCCAAGCTTGTTAATAGCTTGTATCTTGTAGATGTACGCTGAAGGATGTGTTTGTAAGAAATTAAAGTGATCATATCTGGATAAAAACTTTGTTGCTGTTGATGAAAGCACTGACGGGGTTCAAGAAGACATACTTTGGAAATTTCTGGGTTTCAAACCTAACCGCTAGTAGACTTGAAACGGACAGAAACACATTGATCTATCGGCCGCATTATGTTTATGTTACAAACAATATAAACCGCCTGCCATGTATTGCTGTTACATTTTCATGCACCCTGTATCAACGGCAACGGTCTAATAACGGTACCGGAAGACAACAATTTACAGTCAGCGTCAATAATACGTAGTTCCGGACGCTCCCCATCCCTCGGTCATCGGAGCTGGTCTCCGCATGAAGCAGGACGAGCTGGTATATCAAACTTGGCATTAACATTCTCTCATCCCCGCTAGGAAACTACTGCCATACGTCAGAGGCTGTTTAACCCATTTACAGGCATAGGGACGCGACGGGGAGACTCGCGAAAAGGTAAAGTACCCTTCCTACAATGTGTTGCAGGTTGTGTAAGAGACTGATTTTTTATAGGGGGTGGGTAGGCTGCGGCATATATGTCTCCTATGCCATGTTGCCATAGGGCATGCTACGTGCTCCGCCACTGTTATTTCTGGGCATTATGATATCACTTACGGCATTAACAACCTTCAGGTCTATTTATGATTAGCTTATCTCCCTGACTTGTTATTTGTGACCTCTCGGTCGAGGTCAGGGTGACAACGAAAACCCACAAACCAGTGGCAGCATTTTCAACAGATCAGTATAGTTGCACACACGCTATAGCAAATCGGTTTTATTGACTTTTGTACAGGGCAAAAAATATTGATTCCTCTATAGCTAACTGTCCCGCCAAACAGTGATTTCTTAGTCTGACCAGGTGACGTCTTCGCAAAAATAAATGAAAAATGATAAACAAATAAATAAAATGCAAAAATACAAAATAAAAAGTATAGGTGTCATGATCGTCATCAATCGAAGTTTTGATCAGGTGACCAAGTCACATAAATACTAGTTTGCGCGACTCAACTTAATACCTGTGCCCCGCATAGAGAAAAATCTATTGCGTGCCCTACAGACAATGTTAACGTTCCATTATAGCGATCAAAAAACGTTGGTAATAAAATTATGGTCCCGAGTATGGAAATCATATTTTTATATGAACTGTGGACGGATAATAAGGTTCAATATCTGACATCTTACTGATGACGTGTACTTAAGCGGGTCAATCTCTGAAATATGAATGATGACGTGTACTTCATGATCAGTTCAACACACTATTGTGTAACATTGAAATGTAATTTCTGTAACTTGGTGCATTGTTGGCTTATAAATGAACATGCACGTTCTGTATTCACGTAAATTCTACTTCAACTGACTGCATACATCGTTTTTCAAATGTTTGAAAATTGCATTTGAGTGTGAAATATAACAATGCATATGACTACATTCAAATCCTAAATGTGCAAAAAAAACTGGTGAAGTTGAATATAGATGAAAATCAGCGTATTAACGCCAAGAAGCCACGATGTCGTATGTTCGATGTCACTCAGTATCGCTGCGTCTCCAATTAACAAATTCCACCACTAAACCTGGCAGTGATCTGAAGGCCAGGCGTATTAATGATAATTTCCTGCGAGATACGGTACTGTGCAGTAGAATGTGTTTGCGATATGATAGATATACAATGTATATTAATTAAGTCCTATGACATGCTGTAATGAACCCGTGATGAGTAACATGTCGGAGTACGTATTGCACAGAGGGCCAAAATAGCATCTCCATACTGACTGACAATATGCTTTCAACTACTAGTATTAATTTGCTGCAACGATTCGTGTATTCACTCAAAAAGGTTCACAGTGTTTACTGTATGTTGCAAGCCTTCGGTTGCTGGTTTCTTCTTGAAAAGACGATACGCCATATATATGACCTTGCTACAGACGCCTGTCTTCACGTGTCCTATCATTGTGCACACATCTTAATGTTTTGGTGTAGCAAACGTGCCTAGGTGTGAAATGTAATGACATACGATATTCACTGAGAGAGACCAGCACGATTTACCCCGTCCGACTTGAGTGTTGGGAGGGCCCGACTGTTCTGGCGCAGAGTCAGCGCACGTTGTTTTATATACCATAAGCTTACAGCTTTGGACGCTGACGAACCCTCCCCGTACGGTGACTCGCCTCCTCTCCTTGTATTGGCCGTACGTATATGTAGCGATGTTCTGACGCGCTGGCATGCAGCACAGATGTGTCAGCATGTTTACAGCCCTGTGTGGACTGGACTCGGCCGTGTGAAGTCGGCCGTGTGAAGCTGACCCCGTGCACCAGCGCCTTTAAACGGCGCCAGTCCTCAACACTGCCTTTAACATGTATCATCTATAACAGTGAGAAACATCTGTACAATGTGCCAGCTTTTTCGGAAATAACAGCATATCATTCATACATTCTTTGCCATTTCCACATTTTCTACAGTCAACAATGGCATTGCAGACTGTTGTGTCCTACCTACCGAAGAAGTTAAAGAGGATCCATTGCATGGATACTGGATGAGCAGGCCACTTTACCGTGCCTTTAGCCGTAATTGATCAGTTCCAGTCGCCGTAAATCATCCCTACAAAGAGTCATACATGTATGAGGATATAGATATGTCATCTGTCAATGTCAAACCCAATAGGGAATAATCGTCGTCCTCTGACGATGGGGCCGTTTGAAAGTTACGGTAATAAGTACATCTGATAGGATGTGTGCTCAGTAAAGTTAAGTGCGATGGGCAATATTGGCCTCATGTGCAGAAAGTCAAACAAAGAAGATCCGGATCTTGCGGACGTGGACACGCCGTTAATGCCGGATGTGGAATCTCAGTTGAGTCGGTATTAGGTGTACATGGTTTGAAAGTAGGAGGATTTTTCTGTTCCGACAAAATGTCATTGAAACAATACCGTTATAATGTTTTTCGGTAGCGCACGAATCCAGTAACACTAGTCGTGTTTCGTGATTATGTACCCGTGGTTATATTATGTTGCTCATGATCTGTTTTGAACTACATGTACAGGACAACAATTCGTGAAAATTATTCCTACTCATGGTTTATCATTCCAGCAGCGTTCTTTTGATTCCTTTTCAAACAATCTTAATTGTTTAATTTCTTTATTTCATTTACATTGGTCCTTTTATACGTATACGTTTGGTCTGTTCTTGACGGTGCACTTGCCTTTAGTTATGCGAGTGCCGCAAGCCAACATTTCTTCTTTCAGCAGATTTCTTTAAATTCGTCAAATCTTTTCATATGACCTAATAATCCCAACCACGCCCTCTCATACCTGACGCAGTACGCAGCCTTTAGTGGCACGTCGGGCTTCCGGTATGGTGGGGGCGAAGGGTCGTTAGTTGCGCCTCCCTCGCCGCCTTATGGATGTTGTTTTCTTAGTTAAACGGCAATGTAGCTTGTCTTTTGTGTGTACTTCTGATTCAGTGATTTGTGATAGGTCCAGGGTATGTTTTCTGATTAACGCAATCCAACAACCGCAGCTCCAAATCACGTGGCAGGCTGGCTCCCACGGGTCGATCCTAATAATAAAACTCCCATCAGTCGTGATGAATGCGGCTCAGCGTGAGCGGGTCCGCAGATTATCATCTTCTATATATCTACGCCACTGATCTAGGGAGCAGTAATCCTGACCATTCAGAACAGCGCGGTGACCCATGTGGTATTTCCTACTGACCTCATAAATTGTTGGACTGTTGGGCAAGGTCTTCACTCTTGTTGTAGATCAAGTGGTGTGTGAAACTTAATAGTGAACTGAACCGTTTCTAACCGTTGTTCTTTCACAGGGAGTGTCTCATTTCAACGGGAGTGACGAGATTGGTCCACTCCTATATCACGAGACATTCCCTAGTACCCATCCGTACATGTTGAAAGTAGCTCGTTCAAATGGGTGGGAGTAAAAACGGAGGAGAGGGAGGCACATAAGTCGATGACATCAGTTACGATTGCGATATCTGAATGACGTCAATTTTCGCACACCTCACCACTTGGCTGCACAGCCAATGGTGTCTAAAACAGACGGCGTGACATTTGGAAGTTATGAAAATAATGAAAGCTGAAAGTGGGATCTGACGTTCAAAGGACTCGACTGTGAATGGTACCGATCCGTGGGATGAACGAAACTCTTTACACTTGGACAGATCTCGAGCCCAATCTCTTTACATCATATAGATGTCTTTTATCCAAGAATAGCGAACGAAACTCTATCCATGAAGAGCTCTAGGCCTCATTAGGTAGTGGCATACCTTAAACCAGTTTGAACTGGTCGAAATATCATCACGTTTGCTGCATCTCGGAATCACTTTAATCTTGGTGCCAGAGAGACAAGCCATCAGCCAAAGCAAGCTGCAACTGACAAATTGTATTTCAACGACTGTAGGAGACACAAGTTCAGGTTAACAAAACTGAACCATTACATGTATTTGAGCACAAAAGCTGTGACATTGCTATGCAACTATTCAAGGTAGCTATAAAAACAATAACAATATTGAGACTTCTAATGAAAGCTGTGTTGGCTGGTAAACAGGCACCTTTGTTTTAAAGGCGTGGAACACATATCAATATGTTGATCTGCTGTTGATTAATAAATGCAATCCTGTGTCTGTTGAGTCCTTCACTTATGTGTAGTGTGGAAGAAAGGGAGAATGAGGGTAGTGATGTGACCGACTTTGCATGAAACATAAACAGGAGATGTGTACATTAGCTGATAAATAATGTGACTTCGATTTTATAAGAAGTCACACTGTATAACCGGGGGAAGAGGGGGATGGTAGAGAAATGTGTCATGGAGATAATGTTGGACTGAGAAAGGAGAGTGACACACTGACAGATGGTACCAGCCAGGTTTTTGTGGCTGCTGTCAATTTTGGGAACTGTTTCTACATCTGTATCTGTATCGGTATAGCCGGCATAACACACCAGTACATAAAGATTAAATATCATTATATCAATAATGAACCAATGATGCATACAAAACATACAAAAGCTTGTTTGTACCAACAACATCAGACACAAATAGTCCATGTCTCATCTCTGGTATGGATGTGAGCTGGCCCCTGTCCTGATGTTAGTTTTGATGGTGCTGGGAGCCTTCCCCGGGGCAGGGCCAGCCTGGGAGGCCTGTGGGGAGGGCTGGGACTGTGGGGTGTCAGGACCACTCTGACTGGGGGTCCTGCTGGGTTTCAACCCCTTTCCGAAGCTCACTGCTGCAATAAGAGCGCTGGTGTCTGCCAGGGACGACGCAGGGGTGCTCCCTTGCGAAGCTGACACTTCTGAGTCCCAGTCTTCGCTGGCTGCATTCAACTTGTTCAGAAGTTTGTCACACAGGTTGTTGAGCTGTTGGATCTGTTTCTGAGCCGCCTCTGGAGTCAGGCGCTCAGACTGGGTGGTCAGAGTCTTCTCCCTGGTCTCAACCTCAGGTTCAAACTTAGTACGCAGGTAATCTGGCACCTGGGGGGGGGGGTAAAACAAACTTCACTGACACTTAAACTAAAAAGCACAAAGGCAAAGATTTGATTGAATGAATAAATGAATCAACCAATGGATGATGGTTGAGAAAAGTAGCAGAAAGCAGCGTCAAGTGCTGATATACAATCAGAGAAAAACATTTTAAGACCCCAAACCCTGACTGGTTGAGCTTGTTCAGGATGTTGGGGTGATAAAATGAAGTCTTTTAATGAAGACAAGACATAATCACAACCCGTAACAACAAACTACAATGTACTTAGATAGAATTTATTAGCAGTAATGACCATCCGTGTCACGTTACATACCACTTCATGGCTGAAGACAGGCACACGCCCCTCCGTGGTGGTCTCCAGCTGTGGGTCGCTGTCTGGGGACAGCACCAGCGGCAGGAAGATCAGGTTTTGTAGAGATGGCATCTTCTCCTTCATAACCAATTTCTGTGAGTAAAAATAAAGGTGGCGTCAAGGTCTGACTGCTGTTGCTTTGACTAGCTTACTGACTCGTATGTGTATAAAAAGTCCTGAAAATCAAGCATAATATTACACCAAGTACAATGGGACTAATGATCCATGCTGATCAAGTGATTGGCATACTGCCCGCATAGGATTATCATACGGGCAGTGAATTGTTAATTGGCAGGAAACTATTAGTATAAAAGCAAATTAAGGAAACGAAGAAGGCTTGCAGGTTTGTCTGTTTAAAAGAGAGCTGACCGTAAATGTTGTCATAAAAGTCAAGAAAATCGTCGACAAATTGAAGTTGAAGTTTTCTACCTGCAGAGTACTGAGCTGTCCAGACAGCAGGGCAAAGCTGTCCAGTACGGAGGTCCACTGTAGGGTCTGATGCTCGTGCTCTAACTTCATGAGGAAGGCGTGGATCGAGTCCCGCAGGTCCTTCACCCGCACGATCAGGGCGTCCAGACCCGCCTCCAGCTGCTTCTCTTCTCTCTGCTGCATCATCAGATTTGTATCAACCAAACCGGCCGCGAGGTGAGAGCGGACAGTCAGAGTTGGTCAGACAAAGGGAAGTTCAACGTACGGAAAGTAATTGTGCAAAAATTACCACATACGCCGGGCTCAAAAGGGTAGCAACGATTGTGTGTCAGGACAGCTGGCGCAGGTTTACAGGCCAAATGGGACAACAACTATGAAACAGGGGGAAATCTGTTGACAACCTCTTGTTCAGTACCAAACAACGACGATCAAACGTTTCTCCATCGACGATAATATTTCCGGGTCAGTGGATGTGTCCATTATACATTAGTAGGGTCTGAATAAGCTCATACCAGGTGTAGTTGATATAAAACACAACCTATTCAAACCTGTACGAAATTAAAGAATACTTTTTCCAATTAACTTTGAAAAAAGACTTAGTAGTAGGCTTCTTTTACGGTGGAAAGTTCTGTACACGCCATCGCTCAGACCTTTATAAGACCGGGACTCCCGTTTTATGTAGTGGACTGTTCCAGTTGTAAAATGGCGGGTAATGTTCCTGAAATGGATTTTGAAGAAGGGGAACTTGCGGATTCTGAGTCTGACACAGAAGTGCCAGCAGCCCAAGAGGTACGTCATGCCGCATGTAGTTTTCTATAATGTAACGAAGATTTTGGTAGAACGCAAGTGGGACAATTTTCTTTGTTGGGACGTGTTGTTGCTTTGAGCTAATTCCCCCCTCCCCCATGATTTTGACGTTTCTTGGTGCTTGGATACCGGTATACGCGGTATACGGGTTGTTCAGTTTGTTTAACAAATTATGAAACCTCCCGAGTGGAACAACTTAAGCGTTGCCGACGTAATAAAGATAAGTTGTTTGAGGGACTTTTGTTACACTTTCAAATGGAAGAAATAGTTTGTCAGAACCACTTAAAGTGTAGATTGAGCTTCTTTTTACTACCTTTAATGTAACTGTTATGGTCCATGTTGTTCTTGGTTAATGAACATGTCAGTACATAATTTTCTTTCGCTTGTAAATTTAGAGAATGTATGTACAAGAGACTTTTGTGATAGAAAATAAACCTAACAGCCATTTGATTTGATTTGATTTGATTTGATTTGATTTATTGAAATTGCAACAGTGCAATACACGCGGAACAGAGGCAGGTGTTCCTAGTGTTGTGTCCCGCACATAGAAACGAATACTGTACAGACAATACTCACTTTCACTTGAGTCTAGTGGGGAAAGTCGTGTAAAGTGCCTTTCCCAAGGGCACAAGATCGGTGGCATGTCAGGACTCGAACCCGGGACCTCTTAATTCCAAATTAATTGCCATTGCGCCACACGACCCCACATTTGAAAGGCTGTGTTATAGATATGTGTGGTTTCATCCTCAGGAACCATTGAAGGGAGCTGCCAAGCCTGTTCCTGCCCCTCTGGACCTGCTGGGAGCTGTTGGCGGAATCGCTGTCCTGAACAACAACAACACAATACCAGCCGTGCAGTTCACTGGGCACAGGACAGGGGGCAGCAACCTCATGGGCGGAGCACGAGGTACCGGACAACCAACCTACAGCAAAGGTCATTAGCTGGACGCTTTATGAAATACTTGTAATTATGAAATATGCAGTTGGTGGTTTCATGTTTTCTCTTTTGGCAGGCCAGCACGCTCTCACTGTGAACTCATCACACCATGATTATGTGCTCTTGCTTACATTGTGTTTCTATGGTTGTTTCAACTACGAACTTAAGTTGAAGATTATCATTTTTCATGATGACATGCCCATCTGAACATGCACCAGCATCAAGAGATTCTAGTTTAACAGCCATCCAAAACTTACCACTATAGACATACACGTAATTGTTATTATTAAGTAGTTGTTTATTCATATGAACTGTTTTCTCTATGATTTATAATTTGGATTTGCATGTGCAGGGATGACCATGTCTTACCGTGAGTCCAGAAGTGCCACCAGCTACAGTAGTGATGAGGACAGCCACGACAGCTTCAGGTACCTCACTCATCACTAGTACCCTTTTTATTGTTATATACATTTCCCTGCTATTAGATGTATAAAATGTACATGTACTAGTGATAGAAAAACAGAAAGCGAGGTTATGTCAATGAATACTTACTAAGACTGTAGTAGGAGCCAATAGCTATGTCAAATACAGCAGTCTGCATTGAAGGTAGACATCCAGATGTCACTATATAGTGAATGTGCTGATTACCTCACTTATGTCTCTCCAATTTGTTTAGTTTACTTAGAAGAGCAAAATTATGCAGATGTATTTCATCATGTACATTATATCTTCTTGTTTTTATTTGTTTCTCAGTGATGATGAAGATGAAACTCTGTGGAGGAGGAAGAGGATGCGCTGTGTGGAGAATCAGCCAGAGGGCACTGCTTATGCCGTTCACCACACGCCTGTCATCAAGTCTCCACCCAAGCGCAAGATCAACAACATCTGGGCCTCAGTAGTCCAGGTATGTTCAAAAACGTGTCCGTGAACATTATACTGGCTATCAAAGTCCTAAGTTTTGCCTCAACAGTTGGCAAATTTTTGTTTTCTAAAAGATTAGAAGAAATAAGGAAATGTAGGTATGAAGATGATGATGAAAATTTGTGTTCTGAATGTTATTAGGAACAGTTTAGTGAGTCTGTGGCAGATGAGTTGGTGTACACAGGACTGACAGGGGGCATCAACAAGGAGAGAGGCCCGGAGAGCTACGACTACAAGGAGTTCACAGAACATGTCAGGTAAGACCTGTTTTAATCACTCAATCTGACTGTTATCTCCACATGCATCACAGTGACATACATGTATATAAAGTTGAAAGCTGCAATGAGTTGTCTCTTGTGCTCATAAATTTTCTTACCCATATCTGTGTCTTGATCATTGTTTCATGTGTTGTGCCACAACTATTGCCCACACACCTAGATTCTGAAGCTTTTGTACTTTTCCTACTGTTTTGGATTTAATTTGCTTTATCATCTCTTCCTTTCAACTGTCATGGTAAACTTTATTGTAACTTTCGGTTTATCTTTCTATCCTTAGTGACTCTGAGCATGGTTCAAAAAGGTGAGAAATGCAGTGTGACGCAACAAAACAATAATTTGCATATCAGTATAGGCTATACTTTATATTGGAGCGTAAAAAATTATTGCAGATAGCTCTTAGGGTGTGCTTTTTGCTGCAAAAGGCTTTTTTTTTCAATTCTGTAAGTCCTAAAACCTACTCACTAAGACACAGTAAAGAGAGGAAATAAGGTCTGTAATTGTTAACTTTGCTGACATTCTACTTTACCTTATATTGTGTGCCCAATTCTTTTTTCTGTGCACCAGTGCACCTATTCCCATAAAGAGTTTCACACCCTGCTGTGTGTGAATATTGAAATACTCTGTATCCCCAGCCCCATCATGACCAGTGAAGATGAAGATGACAAAGGTGACCATCAGGATGAGAAGCAGGAAGATCCTGGGGAGCAGCAGGAGGAGGAGAAGGGGATGAAGAGGAAGAGGAGTGCCAAGGAGCGGCTGGGACCACGCCCGGGAACCCCCTTCCCTGGAGGGCCAATCACAGTCACAGCTGACGACCCTCCTGAGAAGGTTGCTGATGAGATTATATACAGGTTAGTAAGAGTCTGTTAGGATAGCTACCACTTGTATAAGTCAAGGAGAATGTTTGTGCTAAGTAAAAGGTTGTGAAGTCCCTGAACAGGGCCATGATATTGGAATGCTTTAGTACAGTGATTTGTACCGATCTGAATTTTTTTCAATAGATAGATCTTTATAATCACAGGCATTTCTGGCAATACAGTTACGTCGTATGTAACTTGTTTATACTACTGATGTTTAAGATGCATTCTACACATTGCTATTGTGATCTGCAGGCTGTCCGAGCCCAAGTGGCACCTGATCCACCGGATAGTGAAGGTGCTGGGAGCAGGACAGGCACTAAAGCTGCTCAGTATGACGGAGGATGTGGAGGCTGCAGGGGGCATGCCTATCAACGTAACATTCCTCTACTCTGTCTTGTGTCTTTCCATCTAACATTTAGAACATTCTTCATATCTCTGTCTAAATGGATGTTAAAATAGTGATCTACACAACACTCTGGTGCCAGTGGTTTTGATAGTTACAAATATGGAAGACATCATAAGTATTTGGTTACTTTTCCAGTAAATTCCTACTGGGCTGGAGATCGGTAATACATGTAAACAGTACTTCTAGTGTTTGCACAATGTGCTTGTACATTACCATACATGTTACTGCTGTATAGGATGGATCCAGGCGTCGCACCCCAGGTGGAGTGTTCATACAGCTGCTGAAGTCAACACCTGCTATAACCAAGGAGCAGAAGGACAAGATCTTTGCAGAGGAAGACAGAAAGGTAGTAATGTTCATTATCTATATCCTTATAAATGATGCATGGCTGTTAACATTTTGGTGGTACTTGGGAGTTAGAGGTTTGTATGTGTTATAATGTTGATTGCAATATACTATTATTGATTTTGTATGTGTAGTTTCAGGAGAGGCAAAAAGAAGAAAGGAGGAGGAGGAGAAGGAATAACAGGAGTAGAAGACGTCGTGGGCACGCACACACAAGTGAGAATGACAGAATGGAAGAAGACGGTACAGACTGTGCTGATGCACAACCGACCAGTGCTGGACAGGACAGCATATTACATGACATGGAGAATATACCAGAGGAAACACCTGCCAAACAGACAGTGGACAAACCCTCTGGGATGGTAGAGGAGGAGGAGGAGGAGGGGGAAGTCATTGAGGAGGGAGACAGTGGGGAGTGTAAGATGACTACCACCCAGGGGGATGAGGCAAAGGAAAATGTCGCAGAGATATCTTTGGATATTGGAGAAAATGACATGGACTTGTAGACTTAATTTTCACTGTTTAATAGGCCTAGGAGGCTTGATGAGTTTTGGGGAAGTTTTTGTGCCAACCTTGGGTATGAAGTACTGATAAATCCAATTCAAACACAAGCCATTTGGCAAGATGATGGTTTGGAAGCTTTATGAATGCATACAAACATAAAGAGGGTAGGAAACCTGGTGAAACCATTACACGGCTCCAGGAGAAGGGAGTACAACAAAGAGCAGTCTTAGGATTTCTTTTGAAGAAATCTTCATCACTGGTGTGCATCTTGGCTTTGGTAGTATGATTCTAGTTGGGTCAATATGGCTAAAAAAAAAACAATGCATTGCCATAGATGTTGTAACATTTTGTAGTACTGTTGGATTTGGGAATTTTCTAGGATGAAAACAAAATTGGTGAAGAAACATCTCATACTACTCATTAAGGTCATTGGATGAATCTGTTGAGACAAATGTAGTGCATGTATATTGTAGATGTTTCACCATGGTTTTGACACTTGTCACATTATTCCTTTTATGTTTCTGTGCTTTGCAAAAAGATCATATGATAAGTACACATGCATTGGAAATTTCCCATGCTGTGTTGTTGTTTTTGTTATGAAATTATACCTTTGATAAAGTGTGCAATGTTATTGTATCAGTTTAGAAATCTATTTTTGGCAGTTTGAGGTAGCTGCTTTCTCAAAGTATTCTAATAGAGCGACTGAGCAGTCACTTATTGTTGTTGAAAGATGGGCATTGCTAAAACTTTTTATTTTACTTTGCGTTGTTTTATGTTTTGCCTGTGTTTGGTTGCTTTGAGAGTGTGGAAAGACATATAACCTGTTGATATCCTTTTTTATATCATACCCGGGCCGCGATAACGTTCGATAACGGGTTCCAGACCGGGCCGTACTTTACGGTACGGCCCGGTCCGGAACCCGTTATCGAACGCTTCCATGGCTTCCATAAAACGATTCGAACGCGTTTCGCCCTACCCGCTTGTGCCCCTTTCGAAAATTCGAATACAGAATCCGGACGTTGGAACTGATGTTGTTGCATTTGAGGGTTTAGGGGCACCAACTTTTGGCTCATCTTGCATTGAAAGGCGCGTTTTCTTGGGTGGGTATGATATAAATAAAATACAACACGGTGTATTCCGCATCGCCCTCGGTCCCGGCCCTCCCGCGATCCGACCCGCGGTCGGGCCGATACCTCGGGCGATACGGAATACCCCGTGTTGTATTCTATATGTATAATCACGTTTTACTCTCAGAGAGATTTTCCACACATATTATCAGGACAGATTTTTTTGTTTAATAAATAGATGTATTTTGATATAGGTTTGGCAGAAAAAACTTTACCCAAGTGTTGTTTATAGTGTGTACAAAGTGGTGCTCTACATGTATATAAAACATGACTTGGCAAGTTTGGAAGAAATACATAATATTAAACTGTCCAATATGCAATGACAGCTGTTGATATATATGTAGCCAATAAATGACTTGAATGTATGTTATTGCCTCTCTCTTACTTCTCTAGCGTTACCTTAAAAACGTTAAATGATATCTAATTAGATCAGAGCAGGCTACAAGTACAATCAAGTGTAAGGCACTAGTTCTCTTTGCATGTATGATAAATTTTCATTAAAAGATTGATGCTTCTCGCTAAAGTTAACATTGGTGTGATAATGGGTTACTGTTTGTATTGGGGTGGGGGGGAGTGAAACTTAATTTAGTATCAGTGAAAACTTTTTGCTTATTTTTCAACATCTCCCAAAGTTATCAAAACCCAATTTAAATATTCATTAATGTTACATGCAAGGTACATTTGTATCTCCTTGTTGAACCTCCTTGTTACTTACTTAACGTTACTTGTACTTACTTGTTACAATTTACAATTTTGGTGTTCTCTGAATGGCTCCTTCATGTTTTTTCTGATCATATGGAAGTGTCATTTTTTCGATGATTCTGAAACAAGTGAGACCAAGGGTTATATTATATATAAACCTTGATGAGAACAAATGACCATGTCTCCAGTAGCTTGTTCTTCCGACTTCGTTCGCAAGGTGTCGTGGCTGAACAAGTGACCTCGAAAACTAACGAGGGCAGGAGAACACTTCGAGAGGGAACAGTGAAGCATTGTAAAACAACATTTACTGAAGTTTTATCATGATGGTGGTGATATTCATGAAAATCTAAAATTATTCTTCTCAGTATCGTCTAACATGATAAGCTATATTGAAGGAGATCAATGAATTCGTTGTATTCTGCCCAACATGTTTGTTGTTTGGCCCTCATGCTCAGTTCACCTCGTGAGAGTTCAAAGGTCAAGGCTCTTCCTCCTGTAGTTCTGATCTCCAGTTCCCATGGTTTAGCTACATTAAATCTTAAAATCATGGCTCCAACCGACTCTATCAACTTCGAGGCGCTAAATATCCTCCTGAAGGCCAGCTCTAAAGAGCAAGTGGTGGCGCTGTGTCAGCAGGCGTCAACACTGGGGCAGGCGAAGTCCGTCCCAACTCAGACAGTCGCTCAGGTTAGTCCAATAAGCTATAACATAGTATAAGTGGCTTTGTAATATATGTTACCTCAAACGATTATTACGTCGACTTAACAAAGACTTAGATGCCAACAGGAGATTCTTGTTTTTCAGGAGGCTATTTAGGAGTTTTTTTGTTTTGTTTTTTCAAATTTGTGTAAGGCATCCAGGGAAGGAGATACAGATTGAACAGATGACCATCATACATGTACATACAATGTATCACACTACATTTAAAAAAAATGATCAGAATTCGGTATTTTCACAGGTATCAGCAGCCTTGTCTGTCGAGCCAACAGAAGCCAGGCAGCTGACCCAGGCCCTGCAGGCCGTCATCTCCACCTGTCTGCAGCAGGACCTGTCTGACTCCGCCTCCATCCAGCAGGTCTTCCCTGCAGACTTCCACCAGAACCTGAGGAACCTCCTGGTGGGGGTGCTGGCAGAACACCTGTCCCAGTGGAAAACACAGGCCATCAACAGCCAGGTGTCCCTGCCGCAGCTGGTGGACTTCGACTGGCGGGTGGACATGAAGACGTCGGCAGACAGCGTGAGCCACATGTCGGCTGCCACCTGCCTGTTACAGCTGAAAGTGCAGAATGTGCCGAAGCACGTTGACAGGGTGCCCCCAGTTGACGTGGTGAATGTTGAACTGAGTAAAGAGACGCTGGACACCATGTTGGATGGACTGGGCAAAATCAGGGACCAACTGTCCTCAGTGGCTGCAAAACCATGATGTACAACTAGCCATTGCACTTGTAGTAAATCTATAGTTGAATGGACCAAAACGTAATTTCAAAAATTTGTAATAGAACTTATAATGATTTCTTCACTCATTACCTCCATGAAAAATGGAGGTATTGTTTTTGGCGTGTCTGTCTGTATGTATGTCTGTGTGTGTGTCTGTCTGTCTGTGTGTTTGTCTGTGTGTGTGTGTGTGTGTTTCCGCAACTTTGTAGTCAGCATAACTTCAGAATGCCTTTATGGATTGTGATGATATTTGGTATGATGGTAAGTCTTGGAAAGACAAAGGTCAAGGTCAAGTATGGGCCTGTAAAAACCGGTGGATGACCTTGGTACTGCAGCAGAACTTCCGGTTTTTGTATCTTTTGTCCTGAACAAGCTACATGTATGGTCTTGACTTTTTGGTGACAGATAGCTTATCCTGTCAGGAATAAGTGGCGTAAGTTTGGTCCCCCTAGCAGCTTGTTCTGGAACTGCAGGTTAGTTTCTGGTAAAAACTTTCAAAGCCAATAAGTCCAGATTGGAACAACGTATTTTCATCATTTTTGGTGTGTAGGTACCTGAGAGACAGTTGTACATGATTAAATGCAAATTATGCAAATGAGGACTTAATTTGCATAATTAATGAGGAAATTTTATAATTACAGTGTTTCATATAATGGTACTGCTATACATGTAATCTATTTAATCTGTGGCAGGCGGAACATCAACAGATATCAATTATGCAAATGATGACCTAATTTGCATAATTAATGTGAAAATTCTGTGAATCCTTATTGGTGAATGATGGGAATTTTATACCTCGTAACATGTGTAACTTACTTAAAGGTATGCATCGCTATGCATATAATATGTTAATGTAGAGGTATTTGCATAATTAATGAGGACAAAGCAAGTCCATATTTCATGGAGGTATGAGATCTCGGAACTCTTGTTGTTTTTGTTTCTTGTACAGGATAAACCTTCTGATGATGCACTGTTTTAATAGCATCAATGGGTTGCCCTATTATACATGTAGTAAAATCAGTCAGGTACAAATCAGTGTTAGAGGATGAAGCTGGTCTGAATGACCGTGACCTGTTAGCCACCAGAAACATGGTGTCACCACCTGATGCACCTGACTGAACAAATTTAAAGGTCTGGTATCTTATCAGTCATGCACTATGCATCTGGTAGCAACAGAACTTAAGTTGAATGTCCTGCCTGCTAAAAGTAGTGTAATGTCCCAGAAGAATTTTTTTCTATAAAAGTATCTGTTTCATATAACAAAGGTACAGCAAAATAGCTTAATACCAATAAACATCTGCCAGATGCATGAACATCAATGTGTTTTAATGTGTCTTCTTGCATTAGGCATGTAAGAAAAGTTACTAAGGTGTGTCTCTGTATTTTGCTTACTGTGTCATAGAGAAAGTGCACTTCAAACTGATGAATATTGCAAAAAAGATGATTTATTGCAGTTATACATGTGCTACATGTAGTCTTGCTTAACATCACATGTTTGTAACAATGGGTTGTAAAGCCATTATTATATAAAGTCTGTAGATATTTTCCAATTGCAAGAAAAAATTGCCATATACATATACATATACATGTATTAGTCAACCAGTATACCTGACTTGCAGTGAAACACCAGCTGTGCAGGAATGTGGCAGAGGCTGGTTACATATTTATAAATAAGTTTATTGCAAGTTCTTGCCTGCAGGCCTCTAGGATAATTGCAAGTAACAATAATAACATATGACTAATTTAAGAGCTAAATCTAACTCAACCTTGCCGCTCATACATTGTAAGTCCTGCATTCCTAAATTTATGCTCTTCAAAATTATTAAGAGGTTCCAATATATATTCAAAGGTTCTGCAGCATAGTTAGTAGTTATATAGCTCTTATATACATGTACAATCTGAGAAAATATTCTAATCTATGGTGTAGAGCATTGGGTCACCAACAAATGCCATCCCAGTGCAACAACATACCTTCTATGCCTCAACTCCAGCACCCTAAGGTTAATAATTCATAGCTACATGTCTCGTCTGGCCTCAGCTCGGGTCCGAGCATCTGGGTTCGTGTCGTCTCATCCTCAGCTGTTCTGGGGGTGTATAGCTACATGTAAGCTGGTTCAAAATCTCTTCATTATCTCTTCTGACTTTACAAGTCCATAAGAAAAAAAACCTAGACTGCTTTCCATGTTTGACATGTTTCATTACAACTCTCCCTGCTATCTGCACACCAAGTCTGTCCTGGCTACATAGGTGCTGGAGAAGGGTGTACGTGCATATCATATAAGAGTGAAATGTTCATCTATTGCAAACAGTTGTATGAGGAATTTCAGTGGTACATGATTCAGGTAATTATGTGACTACATTTTTACCTAATAGTCATATTTGGCTTAACTGTATCTGAAACTTACTATACCATGGTACTAAAATGACAAATTATTAGGAAAAAGGTACAATTTTTTAAGTGTAAAAAATATTGAAGTGAGCAAGCTTTCAGGCCCAGAAATATTTTCAATTTTCAACTGTTTTCAGGGTACTGAAATATGCAACACGACATACATACAACACCTCACAGTGGGTTGGCATTGTTGGGAAGGATGCCCTTCTTACTGAAGTAGGCAACAACTTGCCTGGGAACCTCAGAAAGTACAGCTTTGGCCAGCTCAGCAGAATGCTTCTGTAGATATAGGAGATGAACACAAGTGTCAGCATACTACTATTTTTGTCTTTCAACACACCAAGATCTTGCAAACAACAATATTTTTAGTCGTAACTGAGCAAAACAAAACCAACATCAAACAAACTGCACGGCAGGCCAGAAACCTAAAACTGCTCACAGCACATCACACACACATGGATACATCAGTTACAGCAAAACAACAATAGGGAGGATTATGGTTAGGGACATACTAGATTAGTAGAGGTCACAATAGACATGGCAGAAGGTCAAGCTGTTATGCATGCTGTTTTTTGTTATTTTTGTTTCAGGGCACAACTGCTCACTGACTGCCATGTGTATCCTACCATCTAATAATGATAGAGGTAACCTGGAAGGCTTAGGGTGATCACTGATCATTCTGTGTTGTGGAGCTTCCTGTTAGGCAAATTTGGAAGCACTTAGAAAAAAATTACTTGAAAGCATAACATATAAGGTACAGGTAATTTGACTACTTGCAAAGAATTATTCCCCAGACTAGTGACAGCAACCTAATAAAATAGCATTACACCAGCTGAGAAGCTAAAGGACAGCACATGTACTTGTGTTGTTGCAAACAAAGCTGGAATGTATTGTGCATGAAAATGCCTCCAGTCTTATTAATACGAAAAATTCATCCTTGCCAACTTTCTAGAAAGGTCTATATCACTAAGAGCTGGTAGAAAGTTCACCTTTTGCCTACACAGAGCCTACACAGGGCCTTGAGTGGGGTTAGGTGTGTTGGGAGCCATTCCTCGCTTTTTGAAGTACTGGACAACTTGATTGGGCAACTCTTGGAGAACACTCCGTGCAAGTGCTGCAGGGGCTTTCTATAGGGGACAGAGAGAAAAGTCACTACAAGGTAGAGAAAGTATTTAACCCTCCAGCCTTGTTAATGCAGCAGGGAAAGAGCATGTAATATGATGTAGCAGAAAAGAGGTGTCGGGTGGGGTGCAGGAATGTTGTCATCAGGTAAAGGGGCATCAGAAAGGGAATGATATATATATATGAACAATTTTGTGCACAGCTTCTATGTAAAGGCAATGGCTGGAAAGTGTAGTTTCTGAAAAGATGGAGTCCTGACTTGTGAACCTGCCTGTGCCTACATGTAGCTGTACATACATACATACATACATACATAAATAAACACCTGGTACATTTTTGTAGTTGTAAATTTAAAGCAATGTAGACACATTAGTAAACAAGAAGATGAAAATCTTTCACATAAAATACACATAAAAAGTGATTACTTTGGAGCAGTATACCAGTAATAATGTTGCCTAGAAGTCCTCTCAATGCTGTAATCATTCAAGTTGCCTAAAATTCCTGAATGTCAGGCAACATACCTTTTGGCTAGTCAGCTAGTAATTCTAGCAGGAAGTATCCAACATATATAAACTAATCCAGTTAGCAAATGATGCAACACGCTGTGAAGTGTGTTGAAAGTGAAAAGATTCAGATTTGTTCTCACTCACATTCTGAAATTGTCGGAATGGAACAAACTGCACGATGTCCCTCAGTACCGGCTCTCCCCGCGGAGACTTCAGCACACCGTCATCCCCGTCCAGTATCTCCATATCTGTGCCATGTTTAGGTAACAACAGGATAGTATCAGAACAACAACAGCAAGACATATAAGGACAGCACTGTCACCGTAACAATTAAACACTGAGAAAATATCAGAATATCACAGAATATTACCGGGGTACAAGAAGCACATGTCATATCACAGAGATTTATTCTGTGTTAAAATACCAGAACAGGACAATGCTAATCCTAAAATCATTGCAACAGGAACTGTTAATAAGTAACAGTAAGAAATAAACTCATTGCATATGATTCCAAAAGTGTAATAAGACTACCTCTAAAGTCTGCATCACCAACACCAATGATGATGATAGACATGGGGAGGTGGGAGGCCCTCACGATGGCTTCTCTGGTGGCGTCCATGTCTGTCAGCACCCCGTCTGTCAGCAGCAGTAGGACATAGTATGCCTAGGGGAGGGGGGTACAGGATGGTAAGAGCAGAATGTTAGCAAGGAATGTTGCCATGGGAATATGACATACCGGTAGATACATCTTTTGCTGCTGAAATTTTACCAACATTTCAATGAGGGTGTCAGGATTTTATGCAGTTCATATATTAAATGATCAACCAAACAGTTAATCTTGCAAGTTTAGTTTGTATATATATTTGCAAATTACACAACAACATCTCCTTTTTTCAGTGAACATATTTTTCTCGTGTTACAAGACCTCTTTTCTAGTAAACATGTCTCTCAGAGCTAGTTCAAAAGACAGTTTTTCTCATGAGAAGTACAATCAAAGACATGAAATCTGGCAAGACATGTCAAAGCAGAATGTAGAAATTCCCTCACCGAAGCTCCAGGCTGCTGGGCTGCCTGAGTAGCAAACCTGGCGACGTGGTTGATGATGGGAGAAGCGTTGGTCGGTCCATACAGCTGGATCTGGGGAAGGGCGTTCTGATAGGCTGTAAGAATACCTTCCACACCCATGCAGTATGGGTTCTGAGGGTTAAAGTTCAGGGCAAACTCATGCGAAACCTGCAAAAGAAAAAAATAGGTATGATTCAGTTAAATTTTTCCTGATATATAATTCTTTGTACATAGCTGTACTGCCAAATTGATAGCGAGGTTTGAAAACCATACAGACAAATTATTTGAGATATACCTGAAAGTCAGGAGGAATTTTGGCTCCAAAGCCAAGTGATGGAAACATCTTGTCCCTGTCAGTAAAATGGAAAACAACAATTTACAAACTTAAAAAACATGTCAGATTGTACCGTGCCATGACCTTCCTTATTTTGCATTTTGCTTTATGTGATTTTAAGTAATGCATGGCTTTACTGATATATATATGCAATCACATACCAAACATCATACAATTCTATACCATTGCAGCTATTTCATATTCTATACCATATTTTATTGCCATTTCTCTCAGAAGTTTGAGCATGTTTTGTAATGTGTGGCGCACGATACCAGCAATGGCAGTTGCTGCATGTGAATTGTGTTGTTGCAATGCAATTCAAAAGTTAAAGTTATGAGTACATGTACAGTCCATCTAGATACTGGAACTATCAGCAGGTACATGTGCTTGTGGAGCAATGCTGCACATGTAGGACTTACGTATCATAGTCCTGGACCACTCCACCCACAGAACCAATAGCCAGCTGGTACTGGTTCGGCTGGCCATGACCGAGGTAATGCAGGCTGGCTGGGTCCTTTGGGTTGCCGTTTGAAGCTGTGAAATCTACTCCAACCTGTACACATTTTTAAAAAAAATCAAACATGGTTAAAAATGGTATTAAATTAGATGTGTGGCAGTTTAAAAAATCTCCATGTGTAAAGAAATTAAAACCCTCACCAAGTTAATGACTTACTGTGAAGTTGATCTGGCAGCCTCCAAAGACGTAGTCCAAGAAAGAGTACTCCTTCCTTAGCTTAAAGGAAAAACAGACAACAAGTATAAAAATGCTTCACTTCATTACACATAAGTAAGGTAAATCAGAATTAAAACCAACGTAGTGGTCTGAGCTAATGACATTAAGACACTATGAGAGGGCATTGAAAGAAACTCTGGTCTTAATAAAAATCACCAAATCACCAACTTAATAAAAATCCCCAACATCTTAACCAAAGTGTCCGCAGTTAGATATTAAGCTGAAGGGAGCACTGTGGGTGCCTTGTTGTACTGAATCTAGTTCATCTATGTCCTATCGTTCCTGTATGTTTAGGAACAACCTCAGCTATTCAACGTCTGCACATAAATCTACCTATTGATAAGAAGCTAAACATCTTACAATGCACTTGGTAAGAAACAGGATGCCTGAGTCCTTGTAGGATGACTTCTTGGTTTTCTTAGGGTTGATACAAGGAAACTCCACCTGTGGGAACAGAGACAGCTTACAGTCTGGAGGCAGTTAGTAAGATCCTCAGCATTTCCACCAACAGGTAGGCTGCTGGGATTCAAACCAAAACTCTTATAATCCAGAGAAGCAGGCCAAAGGCAAGTATCTTACAGGTTTTATTTCAGTACATTATATTATTATGGGACATTGAATGTGATATAGATTAGATGCCAGAGCTCTCACTCCATACCTGTCTCCTCCCTCCCTGGTTGTCATCTATCATCTGCCTCAGGGTCGTGGTGGCCTCACCAATCAGGTCATGGCTTCCATCTGAGTCCCAGTCATAACATATCAGCTGTTATGTTAGACACACAGTGATTAGTTATTGAAAGGATTTAATCAGAAAATACACTGATTGGCTATTGTGCCTCTGCTAGTGGAAATAGACAATGCATATACAATGTACATTCTTTACTTTATCATGTTGTAATCTGAAAAGGAAAATGTACAATGTCAAATATCACACCTTCAGTTGCTTCTCATAGTCTCCATTACAAACAGATTGTACAGTGAGGGTGAAGTCCTTCCATGTGGGGCTCAGGTTGTTCTGTATTACCTACAGATCAAACAGGGAAAATGTCATAATCCAACTTAACGGTGCACACACCAGTTCTTCCGCGACAGGGGTCCACGATAGTCCGTGGCAAAAAAGTGACGAAAGGGTTTTGAGGGTCCGACTTTGAGGTGACATTTCTCATAAACTGCCACGAAATATCATTAAACATTAACATGGCTGAAGAGTGTAAGAAATGGTGATTTTGGGGTAAAAATTTCTTCTGGCTCCGAACCTTACTTCCGGGTATCCTTGCGCGCCAAGTGTAATCCGCCCGTTTGACCTAGATTTCGCTCTGCGCCTTCCTAGTAGCGGATTTGCAACCCCTCGCGCTGTGGACGATTAAAAAAAATTACAGTGCTAGAATTTTCTTTATAATTTACTCGGGTATAGTCAAGGTTTGGGTCTTTCTGCCAGCATCAGTCATTTCTGCCGGAAAATTTTTTTCTATGGGATTATCCTACGTGAAAATTCGCAATTTTGTGCATTAATTTTGGAGTGAAAATAATGTTTTTTCCGTTGGTTTTACAAAACTTAAAAAGGTTGAAGAAACCAAACTCAGCTGGTCTTGTAGCTGAAGGGATATCCTTTCGTCCCATATACAGTTATTCTCCTTCCGAACTACTCCACGGCAGAGACGGTCGCTAGATTTGAGGGTGTGCAGCTTCGAATAGAAACGCCAAATAAACTGGGGTGTGCCCCCTTAATTTGTTCACTAAGCAATTACAACATCAATGTACCAGTCAGCATTACTGTAGAAGAGGTGATGTATGTATGAACCACACACTATATCAACTAGAATGTACAGGTCCATCACCTACCATTCAATATTAAATCCATTAGTTAACTTAAATGGACTATGGTGACCTGTCTAATTTGATTGTTTCTCATCTCTGGACTGATGAGCACATTCCTCTCACCTCTGTCCTGTGTACCAGCTGCCAGAAGCCATCCTTGCCTTGTTTGTGAATTTCCAGGTATGGATCAGACTTGCTGAATGTGTCCTGTGGAAAAAATACACTGTATGTCAGAAACCATTTAGTAAGGTATCTCTTACAGCCAGAGACACACAAAGACAATCTAGCTATTTGGATGGTTTAGTGGGAGCTTTCTTTACCACCTTAAGGCTCAGGATAGGCTGACAGTGAAAGGCGTGCGAACAGCCATATCTATGACAGACAGAAATCATGAAACTCCTCCCTCCCACGAACACACCCACCTTCTTGTCCAGTTTGTGAGCTCTGAAATTGATGTCCACAACATGGTGGTCAGTCAGCTCCTGTGCAACAATCTGGGAAAGCAAGGGACAAGAAAATACACCTTATTTGGTACTTTGTAGACAAGGGAGGCAGCAATTTAAATGCACATAGTGGTATTTAAAGGAGGGTAACACAGAGTAGAAGCAGATACAGATATTCAACTCATCAACCTATGGTAGACACAGTGTAATGTTTAAACATTGCAAGACATGGCAAGTATCACTAATTATCCATGCTCACCTTGATTTCACCCTTCCCAGCAGCTTTGCCTGTCTTCAGAACAAGTGGCTTTTTGTATGTCCCATGTGAGACAATCTGGACAACACAAGTCAGTCAGAAAGATTATGCTGTAAAATGGCAGGGAGGATTTAGACCTGAATTCAAAATATTAAAGTTTAAAACAGCAGTTCCACCATCATTCTATATCATCTTAACTCCTGGTATATAATCTTTCCATAATCTTTATATATATATATATGTTTTCTAATAATCATAATGTATTATTTGAAAAGGAAACGCTTCTAATTTTTTTCTTGATAGCGACAATGGATGTAGAATTGGCAGATGTAAGGTAAGTGACTATGAAAACACTAATCACTAAGACATTTCTCCCTACCTGACCCAGAGTGCATTCCAGACTTCCAAGAAAATCATCATCCGCCAGTGTGGAGGTGGCATTGTCAACATCATACACTGTAAACTTCAACTTCTGAACCTCCTCAAAATAGTAGTCCACTTCAAACTTAGTGGAGAACAGTGGGTCCAGGGTGTTGACTACCTGCTCAGTTCTCCCAAACTGTGATGGTGGGAAAATTTACAGTTCAATGGTCTGCATCAAATGTTGAATACAGTTGATTATAAAAAACGATGCATGGGCATCAAAACCAAAACTGCATTGAGCTTCTATGTTCAAGACTTTAGGTTACCTATGAATCATATAATGAAATATGCTCACTTGAAAGTATAAACTAGTTTAATTACTGTTCTAAAACTGTTGCTGAGAAGTCAAATTACATACTCGTACATGTATATCAATATATGACATTACTCCTCAAGTTCTACACAGACAGTAATAACAGATTCAAAATCATTTTTTAAAGGCTTATATTAGTTATAAGCAATACATGAATTTCAAGGTGTTACCGGTAGTTATGATTATGCAAGTAGTATTTGTAGTTCTAGCTGGAAGTTGTGTTACTAATTCATCACCTCGAACCACTTGTCTCCTTCCTGCATCATGAGAACACAGATGGGGTCAGACTTTGAGGTGGTGTCTTTGTTCATCAGGTGTTCACAGCTAATGGACAGCTCCACTTTGGAAACAGGGGGGCCACCAACTGGTGCTCGCTGTTGTTGTCCGTATGAGAAAGCCATCCTTCTAAAGGGGTAACAAATAATCCACACATATTATAAAATCTATAGCAAGTTGTCTTTATACAATATACATGTAATACAAAAAGCCATTGCCTTCCAGAGGCTAGGCGATTGTTGTAGCCATAAATTTATAATAATAATTTTAGTAGCTACTAGCTACTGGAGGTTCTCAGGTGACATCACACTAATATTTAGTTACATTTGAAACCCGTGTATAATATATGCAGGATAACTCACAGTCATGGTGAACTGAGTAATCACATTTCCATTAAAAATTCAAAGTCACCTGGCTGAATTCCAGGTTTAACAATATAAAATCTACCGCCAAATTGGTTCCAGATGAGTGCGAACGACAGAGTTGCTGGTTTGTCAGGAAGGGCTGATTTAATGAGCTTGAATAACGTTAGCTTCACGAGCCTATGCTATGGTACTGTGCACCGAGTCAGTTTGCGCCTGATAGATTATGGCGATCTCGCCTTTTCGTTCCCCTCCCACATCCCATGTGCATGTCCAAGTTTACTGAGAGTAAAACTAGAAGTATCAAACTATCTATGTTTCGTTCGTTTTATAATAATACTTCCGCATTCCGCGGACGGGCGTTTCCAGGACTAGGCCGTGTGAGCTGTTTCCTCCGCCACACGAAACGCTGCAAGACAGCCTCCTGTCACGTACTTCAGGCCCTGACATAAAAATATAACTTCTTCAAACCTCACCTGTTCTTTGCTAGAAGACGTTCTCAGTCCGCTTGAAGTCAACAACTCCACGCCCCTCCCTGACCCTTCAGTCGCAAAACGTGTTTTACGTTTTGCGGCAAGTCGCGAACAGGGCTTTGTCCCTTGTCGTAAGCTTATGGATATTGACAGGACCGTCCTGTCAATAGTGGAAAATTTGCACTATTGACAGAACCATCTTGTCAATAGTGGAAAAACTTGCGTTATTGACAGGACCATCCTGTCAATAACAGAAAAAAATGCACTGTTGACAGGATCAGTGGAAAATTTTCTGCTATTGACAGGATGGTCCTGCCAATACCGCAAGGTTTTCTACTATTGACAAGATTTTTCCTGTCAATAACAGAAAAAATTGTACCATTGACAAGATGGTCCTGTCAATAACGGAAAATTTTGCACTATTGACAGGATGGTCCTGTCAATAACAGAAAAGATTTACTGTCGACAGGGCCATCCTGTCAATGGTGCATTTATTTCTGTTATTGACAGGATGGCCCTGTCAATAAAGCACAATTCTGCACTATTGGCAGGAAAAATCATGTCAATAGTGTAAAAAAATCTGGTATTGACAGGAGGATTATTCAAATATGAAACGGGCCAAATTCTAGGGTTATTACGACCTGAGTATCCAGATAAAAAAATAAGCGTGTTACAGCCAATCTACCTTAGTTTGAACCGTCACCGATAATGTCAGCACCTGCGTACATCAAAGTATATAAAATGTACATGTCAATTCTTTAATACCCTAAGCCGGTAGCACCATTGTTTGTGTTCAGTAAAACTCATATATTTTTAATGACAATGACAATGAACTTTATTGCATGTTCACGCCCTACACGGGCCAAATGCACTTAAGTTAAATAACTTGGTAACAAGAATAGAAGAAGCAATTGTTACATTCGTGTGTTATTTAATAGAGATGCGTAGTATGCGTGATGTTTACACAAGACTGAGATAAAAGCACAGCGATACGGATCTAAAATGAAGTCTATTCCCCTCAGACAGTGCATTGTTGCTTTATAAATGTGGTCTCGTCAAGACATCAAGATATAATTGTATCGCAATTAGTACAGTGGTCCACGTCTAACGAAATGCACGTTTTAACGTTTCAGAGGCCTGGTATATCTTTGAATTGTTCAAAATATATAAAACATGTCAATCAATCCCTTTATATCTTGTGATGTTGTTTCTTTGATACGCAGGGCTAGATCGATATATCATCATAGAGAAGAAATTTTAGCCCATGAAGTATATCTATGAGAGCGGAGAAAGCCTGACAACAAGGATGTAATATCATATCGGCTTGGGTACCATCTTAGTTGGTTTTCCATGGCTCCTATGTGTCACCTTTTGTGGAACTAGTCATCTTTTGCATACATAAAAGTAAACATGCATAAATCGCAATTCCTTTGATATCTTGCGACACTGTTGTTGTTTGTGTAGCCACCTGTACGGGTATATCATGATAGAAACGAACAGTCTGTCAAGATTTTACAGAAAACTGTGAGAAAAGTCTAATAAGGACGCTATTGACACCTGCCATACGTCTGTTAATTTGACTTTTGACGGGCTTTTGTTGGCCATTCTCGAGTATCCTGCGTTGCTATCATAAAGCCTTGATATGCAATAAGGCTGAATATATCAACAAGGATGTGAGATGGAATCTTTGTGCTTTGCATTTTCAAATCCGCCGACACAGTGCGGTGACCAGTAACGGTACAGAACTCGCCACGTAGCCTTATCGAAGTGATAATGGGATAAGTATCTAGACAGACCAATAGAAATAGTCCTAGAAATCACGTGATGAAGCTTTGCAACGAACTCTCTTAGTTTTCCCTGACACAAGGACGGTGAGAGACTCGGGGGAAGCGGACAGTTGGTTGAATCAAACGAATAACTGACTGAACAGTACTAGTGTACTACCTGTCGGCAATTTACAAGGTACATTTGTCGGTAAGAAATCTAATAATGATACTTAATGCATGAATATTATTTGTTGATTTCCTTTTAATTGTACTTTTATATCCTATATAGACTGATTGATTGAAGTTCGGGAGAATTACATTATGTCTTAGACTTCTAATTAAATACGCCAGTACGTTGAAATGTCAAATATATTCACAAATAGATCAAAATTACTCATCAGACGTTATTACAGGCTACCAGCTGCAGGTCTTAGGTAATGCTGAGGTCACATTTCCAAACCGGGGCCCGGCCGAGCTGTTTCGATTAACGGAAAATCAAAAATCTATATCAATAAAGTACTCATAAAGTTCCCATTAGAAATTCTTTAAAATCCTTTCTGCTTTGTTGTACCTTATCATCATACTTTTCGCTCCATAAGACTGCCCGGCCGGGCCCCGGTTTGGAAATGAGACCTCAGCATAAGTGAAGAGTGTACCAGAGGTTTGATTTGGGTAGGGTCTCGTTGACAAGGAAATATATGTGTTCATTCATTTCATGATATTGTTGGTTTAGGTGTTTCGGTATATAAACCTGTAGATCTAGTCAAATGATGCAATTTTGATAGTTTATTTGGCTGTAGTACGTTCGCTATTTCGTTTGTACTTTGCTATTCAGTCGGCCCCTAGTATCCGTGCAGTTCTTATCATAAATGATATGATACGTAACATTTGACATTTGCTGGCCTTTGCTTATGAACTATGACATGAAACCTCACGTACACGATATAACTGAAATATTAGTCTGTGTAGCACAAACTTCGCTCTCCTGGCGGTTACGGGTCCTCCCCGCACTCTAGCGGGCCGGCGGAAGTTGGGCTTGCCGCTGTAAGCTCGCTCTAGTTGAAAAATCAATAGCCGGGTCACCACGTACAGCTAAAATTTTGGCGCAGAGGTGAGCGGCAAATATCCAGTACAACGGGGCGCCTCAGTTGCTCCGATGTCATGATTTGCCCCCCCCCCTTCCGAGGGGTGGGATCGCTAGATATTTGGTCCCGCCGGGACCCCACCCTTCACTAGAGACCACACACACCACAAACAAATCCCACCACCTCGCCCCCCACATTGGTTTCACCTCCCCCCATCCACCCAGGGGCGAAATCGCCAGCGATTTGGATCCTCCATGGGCGACACCGCTATAGAGATCAGGTCCCCCTGTATTTTACCCCCCTAATGCTTAGGTCACATTTCCAACCCGGGGCCCGGCCGGGCTGTTTGGATTAGCGAAAAATTAACAATTCATATCATGAATATACGCAGATAGTTCCCATTGTTCATATTTTCAACTTTTTTGTGCTTGATTGTCTTTCATATCATACTTTTCCGTCCATAAAATGCCCGGTCGGGCCCCGGCTTGGAAATGTGACCTCAGCCTTACTAAGGACTGAAATCTCTGTGTTAGGTCACAGCAAGTAAATTTTATGGATGCCACCCTCAGCAGACTCCAAATCTAATTCAATTGGGTGAAAAAACAAGGCGGGCCAGAAAAACAAGATTTCTACATTTTCACATGAAAAAAGAAATGTATTGTGCTACGTTTACTGCCAATTACAAATGTATTATAACATCCATTCGTCATTGAATTTTTTTCAATCATTGTACAAATGGTTTTGATTCAGTGGGAACATCGCACATAAAGGAATGAAATACACCATAATGTCTATCGATCAAAGAGATCGAGTTACCGCGGCTAATGCCAGCACCTGCTGCGTACATCAAAGTATACAAAATATGCCACAATCAATTCTTTGCATTTAATATCCTGCGACGCTGACGATGGCATCATTGTTTTTGTTCAGTAAAAATTATATTTTTTCAATAGATGCGCAGTGAGTAATATTTACACCAGACTCGGACAAAAGCACACCAATACGGGAGTACACACCGGCACCGTGAGAATTACTAACAGCACACCGCTCCTCTGTATATCTGCTCTCTCCAAGACATAACTATGTTTTTTCTGAAAACGTAGGGAAGGAGTGGCGTCGACGCACGTCACTCGCACGTCACTCGCACGGTTGCACAAAGTGTAAGAGTATGATCTGCACGCCAAGTCTGGCCGTGAGCGGTTGCGTGCATCGTACGTGGCGCAAGTGGTAAGTGAGTTGTACGTGCTTACAACGCACGATTTTCGTGCGATTGCAACTTTACCGTAAGGAGGCCGTACTCACACGTGCTTCTTCCGCACGACACGTACGGGGCACGCGCGTCGCTCGTACTCGCACGCACGGGTGGTGAATCCGCAGACCGCACGTGGAAAAGGTTTTACATGCACTTAAAGTTCTACGGTGTGTCTGCGTGCTCCCAAATCCGTAGGATTCCGTACGGAGGTGGTACTCACCACGCACGGATGCCCTACGTTTGCCCACGTTTTTGCACGTAGACAGCACGCAGAAGCACGTACGGCGGGTTGTGACCATCGCTTAAGACATCTTAATTACAAAATAAAGATGGTCCACTTGTAACGGAATACATGAGTTAACGTATTTAAGATGCGGAGGGAAGACTGGTCGATCTTCTGCGCAAACTGAAGCATACAAAACATGTCGCAATCAAGTATTTGGTATCTTGCGACGCTGTTGTCATGTTTCTGTAGTACGTAGGGGCGTTGAGTTGATTGTTCCATATTAGATTTTTGTACCTTGCCTGTGCACCCTACTATAAATGTTTATGCGTCGAACCTTCTCACGTTGGGGTCGTTAACCGTTGACGCCTAATGTCATCGCCCGCGTACATCAAAGTATACAAAATATGTCGCAATCGATTCTTTCATATCCTGCAACCCTGTCGATACTAATATTGCTTTAGTGTCCAGGAAAAATGATTTCTTTGCAAGAGAGATGCGTAGTGAGTGATATTTATACAAGACTGGGATAAACACACGGATAAGCAATACGGATGTAAAATGAACTCTTTTATGTAACCGAAGCGTAACACACACCGCCGGGCACCGTGAAAATGATTAACAGCACACCGCTGATATCTTCAATACATATCTTCAATATCTTCAATACATACATGTAACTATACTAAGACATCTCAATTACAAAATATGCAGATGGTCCACTTGTGAATAAATAAATTAAGAGTTGAAGTATCAAATATACGATTTATTTATCTATTTATCTATTGGTTCGACAATGATTGTCTAGGCTTCCCAACTTGCTGACAAAGCTATTGTAAAGGGCTAGCCTGGAAAAATACATACAATGGCAATCTATGGATTCTTCAACCCTAGTGCCATCTCCTGAAGTGGTGACTCGAGAAGGAGAAGAAGAATGCCATCACCTGTGCATATCAAAGTATACAAAACATGTCGCAAGTCTTCGGTATCTTGCGACGTCGATATCATGTTTCTGTAGTACACAGGACTTCGATATACCACCAAAGAGAAGAAATTATACTCAATGAAGTTTATACTTCGGACCGAGGAAACCCATAGAACAAGGATTAGCCTGGGTACTATCCTAGTTGGTTCCCCGGCTCTTATACTCGCCACTGACGAACTAGTTATCTTTTGCACCCAGTAGCATGCAAGTCAATGAAACCACCAATATTAACTCCACAGCACTCTAAACCCGAAAGATACACCAATTGGTGGCGATAATGACGTCAAGCATCGTGACTTCTGTACTCTTGTAACGTGTTTCTGTACTCCGACGTATGTATCACACACATCCTTTGGTTCACATACCAGTAAAATAAAAGTCAAACTATATACAGTAGCATATCTCTGACAACCCAAACTCATACATGACAAAGGTATGAAGTCATCGACCTCTTGTTGTTTTTACGTCTTTTGTACATGCTATTTAGTCGGCCCCTCGGGATTCCGTTCAATTCTTATAAATTATTTGATACGTAATATTTTATATTTGCTGGCGTTTGCTTATGAACTATGACAAGAAACCTTACGATATGGTTAGAATACTAGTCTGTGTAACAAAAACTTCGCTCTTCTGGGCAGTACTGCGGGCCGGCGGAAGTTGGGCTTGCCGCTGTAAGCTCGCTCTAGTTAAAAAATCAATAGCCGGGACGTGTCCTTCCTTGTGGCCTCACAGCTAACATTTTGGCGCAGAGGTGAGCAGCAAATATCCAGTACCACGGGAAGGCTCCGCGGAACAATGGACTGCAACTTGAGCATTTATGACAAGTTAATACTTACTAGTGTATGCCGATAGGAAAGCTACCCAAACCCAAGTTTAACGCATGATGCTTTTCAGTCACTCCTTGTTACACAGAACAAGGTAATTCTCAGCCGCCACAATGTTTAAGAAAATTATTTTCAAACATTTGGTAGAAAAGTAGTGGACCAGCGCAAACTAAAGTATACACAGCATGTCGCAATCAAGTCTTTGATATCTTGCGACGTTGATGTCTTACTTCTGTGGTACGTACGCAAGGCTTCGGTTATACCACCAAATAGAAGAAATTTTACTCAATGAAGTTTATTCATCAACTTGAGGAAAATCTTACAACAAGGATTAGCCTGGGTACTATCATAGTTGGTTCCCCGGCCCTGCTGGCCCCTATACTCGCCTCTGACGAACTAGTTATCTTTTCCACACATCGAATTCCACAAAACCAGTCGCTTTGATATGTTGCGACACTGTTGATGCTCGTGTACCTTCATGTGAGTATACATCATGAGAGAGACGAACAGTCCATGAAATTTTACATAAGACTGTGGGGAAAATCCAAGGACGCTACTGACGCCAGTCATACTAATTATCATGACGCAATTAAACTACTTGTGTTTCTATAAAAAAGCCCTGAGATTCATATGATGTCCTTGGTTTCATATAGCAACAAGGATGTGAGATGGAATCTTGGTGCTTTGCATTTTCAATTCCGCCGACACAGTGCGGTGACGAGTAACGGTACATAACTAGCCACGTAGCCTAACCGAAGTGATGTTGTGGTTAAGTATCTAGACGGACCAATAGAAAGTGTCGTGGAAATCACGTGATAAGTCTTTGCATCAGCCATTCTGTCGTTGTTACTATTAAACGGACGGTGAGAATCTCATAGAGAAGGGAGGCGGACAGTTGGAGGGCTCAAACGAGTAACAGACTAAACATTGTCCTACCTGTCGGCATTTTACAAGATACATTTGTCGGTGAGAAAGCTAATAATTCATACATGAATAGCACTTGTTGATTTCCTTTTAATGGTACACTTTGTATTTTACGGGAGAATTACATTCTGTTTATTTTAGATTTCTAATGCGCCAGCACGTTAAATTGTCAAATATATTCAAGCACAAATTGATCAAAGTACCCGCCAGCGTTATCTTCAAACAGAGCTTACTTCATGCTAGCAGGTTGTAGGTAGGTGAATGATATCGATGTACCAGCGCTTTGATTTGGATCGGATCTAGTCCCAGGGAAATATAGATATAACGTTATACGTTTTCATCCATTCATGCCATGAAATTGTTGGTTTAGGTGTTTCAAAATCTAAACCTGTTGTAGTTAAGCTGTGTAATTGTTTTTACTTCTTTCGTAATTTGCTTTGTCCCTCGGATTCCGTCCAATTCCTACAAATGATTTGCTATGTAATTATATGTAACATTTGATATTTGCTGGCGTTTGCTTATGAACTATGACAAGAAACCTTACGATATGGTTAGAATACTAGTCTGTGTAGCACAATCTTCGCTCTCCTGGGCAGTTACGGCTCCTCCCCACACTCTAGCGGGCCGGCGGAAGTTGGGCTTACCGCTGTAAGCTCGCTCTAGTTGAAAAATCAATAGCCGGGACGTGTCGTTCCTTGTGGCTTCATAGCCAACATTTTGGCGCAGAGGTGAGCAGCAACTATCCAGTACAACGGGACGCCTCCGTTGCGCCGAAACAATGGACTGCAAGTTGTGCATTGATGAGAAGTCAATACTTACTAGTATATGCCGATAGCAAAGCTACCCAAACCCACATTTTACCGCAGAGTTGAGCGGCAAATATCCAGTAATCAACGGGACGGCTCCGTTACGCCGGAACAGTCATTTTACTTTTGAACTCGTTGCACCTAGCGCCTAATGTCATTCTCCGCGTACATCAAAGTATAAAAAATATGTTACAATCAATTCTTTGATATTTCATAGAATATAACAGCATTGCTTTTGGTCTGTGAAAATAACAACTTGAACAAGGATGCTATGTAAAACATTGGTATAATTTGGTTATGAAGCCACAATTATACATCTTAATATGGAAACTTCGATAGACTTGTGGTGGTATTGATGCCTCTAGTTAGTCTGTGGTGTGGACTGGGGAGTAAAAAAAAGTAGTTATGTTTACAAAAGAACAAGGATGTGAGATGGAATCTTGGCTCTTTATGTTTTGAGATCCGCAAACACCGCCCAGCGATGAGCACGACAACCCAGAACTCCCTTCCAACCTAACCTATAAGTTTCAAAATTCAATACACAAACCATCTTCGTCGTGATTACTTTTGTTATGCAGGTAACCATGAAGTCAGCCATCGGGCTTCTCTTCTGCCTACTTTTCATCCTGGCGCCCTGTGGTGAGTTGTAGATGAATTCTTTCTCTCTTCTCCAAGAACGTCGCTGAGGCCATGTAGGTTACTAGTACTGCTCGTCAGTCTATCAACACAAAAGCTCTTTTCTGGTTAGTCCTCTTTACATTCTATAGGCCATGCATTTATATATCATTATATGTTCGATGAAAAAAGATAAAATGGCATCCTTGTTGTCGGCAGAATCACAGGACAACCACCCTGGCGACCCCTTCGTCACTGCCTCTATTCTTGAAGCTGTGATTCGTGTGGACGCGGTCATCGCCAGAGCCAAGGAGATGCACGATGACCGGAACAGGTAATGGAAAAGAGGAAGATGTGTCATCAAGGGGCAATTGGTACAACAGGGATTTGAGGTTCATGTCTGTCAGTTAATGAGATTATACACCATACGTGCGTACTATGTGAAGGAACTGGACTTTCTTACATCATTAGAATAACGCATTGACTCCACTGCATGACCCCTTATTGACACTTCACTCTCGTACAGCAAGGTGCCGGACAACACGACGCCTCCTATAGACTTTTAATTGGAACACTGCCTGACGGTGGATCGATGGGGCAAACAACGTCTGTATCATGATAACGCGTATGCACCGTATGTGTACAGTGTCTAAATAGTTCTATGTTTTCATGATGGCCTAAACGTTCATCTTTTTTTTAGAGGTGGTGAAATATATGATGTGAAACTTTTGTTCGAGCTATGGGAATTTCCCCGGTACAATTGAAATTGAAATACCTTTATTGTACATTCATGCCACGACGGGCTAGGTACAGGTCAAGATACTGAGTATGACAGACACATAACAAACGTATATAGAAAATTGGAGACAAAAGATGCACTACTTGACTTAGACATACATACATAAGGAACATACAAGGGTACTATACTAAGCTAATACATAGTGTTCTAGTCACTGAGCTAATACAGACAGGTCAACTTCTTCTCGCTTTTTTGTACAGTGAAAAATGTGGGAGCAGATCATGTTTGTGATACAGGGTTTGTCTAGACGCATCAAAAATATAAATTTATCATTTGCGCTTAGGTGTTCAAAGTATGGGAACTTCTCTTTAATATAATTAAAAAGGACAGATCTTTCATTAGAATATAAAGTACAGTCTAAAATAAAGTGTTGTTCATCTTCTATTCTATTCATGTTACAGTATTGACAGAGTCTGTTCTGGAGAGGAATGCGGTTGTGCCGTCCCGTTTCTATGAGTAATTTGTGGCAACTTATTCGGAGTTTTGTTGCAGCTATCCTGTGTTGTATGTTGTTAACCGATAGGTACTCTTCTTCTTTATATATAGTTTTAAACAAACGGTACGTTCGTAACTTGTTACTAGAAGATGTACCTCTGTTATGGTCATTGTGGATTTTCAGTGATAAATGTTTGGGTGTAAATAAT